CTTGCCTTTTAAATAGTGAGTTTTTCTGGGCTTATTAGTGATTTCGGTGACTCCCTCCGGGATGTGGGTTCTGTGCTTGGCTGCCATCACACGTGCGGACCTGTCCCAGCGCGGCCCCACGTGCTGACGGAATGTGGGGCGCTCGGGCAGACAGGGCGCTGGAGGAAAAAGTGTCAGCACCAGTGCCAGACTGTCGGGAGGAGAGGCGTGCGGGGTGGGCAGGCTGTGACACCCCTTGCCAGCCTGAATGCCCCCCCGATGGGGCTGGGGCAATGGTGGGCTGTGGGGGGGCTGAAGGCGGATGGGGGCTGTGTGGGGTGCTGGGGGTGGATGGGGGGCTGTGTGGGGTGCTGGGGGCAGATGGTGGGATGTATGGGGGGCTGGGGGCGGATGGTGGGATGTGGAAGGGTGGGTGGTGGGATCTGGGGGGCTGGGGGCGGATGGTAGGATGATTGGGGGGCTGTGGGAGGGCTGGGGGCAGATGGTAGGATGAGCGGGGGGCTGGGGGCGAATGGGGGGATGCATGGGGGGCTGGTGGAGGATGTGGGGGCCTGGGGACGGATGATGGGATGTGGGAGGGTGGGTGGTGGGATGTGGGGGACTGTGGGGCTGTGTGGGGGGCTAGGGGCGGATGGGGGGCTTTGTGGGGGGCTGGGGGCAGATGGGGGCTGTGTGGAGGGCTGGGGGCGGATGGGGGGCTGTGTGCTTCCGTGTCCTGTGAGATGCCGGCCGTGGGCTTGATGATAAAGAGACACGGTTGGGCAGCTGTAATGCTCAGAGGAGTCTGTGCTGCGTGGCTTTGCAATGAATGGAAATGTGCTCTTGTTATTTCGTGTTTGTAGGCTTTCCACCTTTGCCTCGCCCGCCTCGGCCGGCAGTCTCTCGTTAGGATTCTCTGAATAATTGGGCCGTGGGGAGGGGGCAGCTGACACCGTTTTGTTAGGAGGCGGCTGCTGGGCCTGCGATCTCCCATGGCGGAGAGAGGCCTGCTGGTCCCCAGCTGCTGCGTGCACCTGGCTCTGCTCGGGCTCACACCTGGCCCTCGGGGGCCTGACCGCCCTGCTCCAGACCTGCCGCCGGGAGGAGCGGCAGGCGGGGTGCGCTCAGGCCGGTGCTGCTTGGCCGGGACGGTCAGCGGGTGCGCTGTGAGCTTCGCTCCTCCCCCCTCCCTGAGCTGGAGCCAGAGCCTCTGTGGGCTCCCAGCCTCGAAGCCGTGGTGCCTGGGTCCCTGGTGGGGGCTGGGGTGAGTGTGCCACGCCCACAGCCACCTCTCTGGGCGCCTTCGGCTGCCGGTTTCCTCCCGCGGACAGCCTCTGGGATTCTCAGTCCCGGCGGCAGAGCCGCCCCGGCAGGTGAGGCAGACGCTGCCGTCACAGAGATGGGGGGGTAGGGGGGGTGGGGTGCTGAGCAGCGGGGCCTGGGGGACCTGGAAGCCCTGTGCCGTCCAGCGCCTCTGCCTCTGCCGCCCGCCTGCGGAGCGGGGCCCGCGGGGCTCAGAACCTGGCCCCGGCCCCGCCTGGAGGAGCGCAGGCCGTGCTGGCCCCTCCGCTGGGGCAGCGCCAAGACACGTGGCTTCCGTCTCCCACGGGGGAGGCCACGTGGAGGAAGTCACGAGTGTGCGGGGTCAGTGCTGTGGACCACAGACAGCGGTGACTGCGGTCCCGTGGGGCGTGGCCGGACTGGGTGGGCTGAGCACGGTGTCTCCGGGGCGTGGAGCAGAGGGCCCTTCCTATCTCCCCGCCGGGCCCCGGTTTCACTCTCAGCTTCCTGCTCATTGCCCTCCCTCCATGTCCTCCGCCCCAGGAGGCTCTGCTGTGGACGCCACCTCACCATCCACCTGGCGCGGCCTCGGCCCCACCCAGAGGCCGAGGGAGGGCAGGAGACCCCGCCCTGGGTGACCTCGGACCGCCGTGCATGCACGCGCTTCCTCGCGCGCTCTGCGTCCCGCTGCCGGGGGACGGTGCTGGTGCAGCCGGCGTGGCTGGCACTGCTGCTGGTGAGGACGAGAGGCCTTCCTGAGCGCGGCTCCGCCTGCCATGCCGGCGTCTGGTTGCACGGGAGCCGGACGCAGCCGCCCGCGGCCGCACAAATGAAAGAACTCGGAGCAGCCTCGAGGCCTCCCACGTGGACGGCTTCGCGCAGGGGCGGTCTGTCCTCCGGGAGGGTCCAGGCGGCTTCGCTTGCTTTGCCAGGACACGAGCTCTCGGCCGAGGGGACTGGGGCGGGGGGGGGGGGGGGCGCTGTCCGCAGGGACACCATCTGCCTCGCACGCCTGCTGCGCTCACCTGCTCACCTCTCGCCATCGCTCGCCGTTGCCTTGGATACTGGCCTGAGCTTCAGCGGACCGAGCAGGCCTTTCCTCTCTTCAGCGATAGAATTATGTACACGCACCGCACACGCATAAAGCCTCCTGCCGGTGTCAGCATGTACGGCTTTCCCCGTGCTCTAAACCACGTGTTTGTGGCAGGAATTTGGAAACACACGGGAGGCCTGGCGGGGAAGAGGAGGCAGTGCGGTTCCGCTCCCGGGGCCGGCCCCACGCGTGTCCGTGTGGTCAGCGGGCCTTCGCGTGTGCTCCACACCCGGGGCAATAGCCGTCGCCCTCACCCTCCTCGCCAGGCTCTGCGGGTGCCTCCAGGCACGCGTGGTGGACGTGTCAGGCCGACAGGCGTTCTGTGTTCTCGCCCCTTTGGGGCAACTTGGGCTCCTTTCCCCCACAGGGACGGGCTGAGTGGTCAGCCGGGTGTATGGGTGTGTATGAGTGTGGGGGGGGAGGGGGGGGGAGGTAAATGTGGGGTGTGTGTGAGGGATGTGTGTGTGTGCGTGTGTATGTATGAGTGTGACTCTGTGTGGTGTGTGTGTGTATATATGTATGCATGACTGTGTGTGTGTGGTGTGTGTGTATGTGAGGGGTATGTGTATGGTGTGTGTGTATGTATGTATGAGTGACTGTGTGTGTGTGTGGTGTGTGTGTGTATGAGTGTGACTGTGTGTATGTGAGGGGTGTGTGTGTGTATTAGTGTGAGTGTGAGTGTGAGTGTGTATGTGAGGGGTATGTGTGTGGTGTGTGTGTGTGGGTGTGTATGTGTGTGCGCATGTGTATGAGTGTGGCTGTGTGTATGTGAGGGGTGTGTGTGTGTGTGTGTGTGTGTGTACGAGTGTGAGTGTGAGTGTGAGAGTGTGTGTGTGTGTGTGTGTGTGAGAATTGCACTGGAGGCGTACAGGAAAAGGCAGAGACGCCATCGTGCTCCTCACCCAGCTTCCGGGGTCACAGCTGGGCGGTGGGTGGCACCGGGGACACCGTTAGTTTCCCGCGGGGTCTCGGTCCCTGGGGGCCCCCTGAGAGGTTCGCCGCCGAGAGCCACGTGGGCGAGGATTGTCCGGGGAGATGGCGACTCACCGAGGCCGCCACTCCAGTCTGCCGTCTAAAACGATGCTCTTGCCGATTTAAAATTAGCTTCTGGGAACATAACTGTCATCGCCAATCACACTGTGCTGGAAGGAAATGTGTTCGAGTCCAAATGGTTATTTTTATGTATTATTATGCCGTTTTTGGCAATTAAGTGGATAGCCCTTACATTTTCTTAATGCTTAACTGTATTATTAAAAAGCATTATTTTAGAGTTTTTGGAGTGAGGTTACCATAGAAATGGAAATAAAATACGGAAAAGACACCTGAGGGAAGCTAAGGATTAAAGCTCCCCGCGCCCGGGACCGGCGGGCGCCGCCAGCGTTGGCAGGGAGCGGCCGTGGACACGCGTGGCTGCTCAGGCTGCTTGCTGGCCACGTCTGTTGCCAATCGTGGCGTTGCATTGGCAGCTAAGTGTGTGGGACAGACGTGTTTTCCTAGTTCACGTGTCGTCATATTTCTGACATTTGTTTCCTTAAAAGGTGTAGGACGGTGTCAGGCAAGGTGTGTGTGAGCGCACCCTCTCATGGCGTCATCTGCGGGGTGTGGCGTGTCGGCCTGTCCCCCGCTGCCCCCCGCTGCCCCCCGCTGCCCCCCGCGAAGCAGCCACAGAGAAACAAGTGTGCTCAGTGCGTTGGGCGGCGGCGAGGAGTCGGCTCAGGTCGGAAGAGTGACTCTAGCGCTTCCGCTGGTTTTCCGTCTGAGGGACTTAGAGCTTCGGAAACAAGAACTTTAACAATCAAATCAGAAATGGTTTATTTTACTAGAGTTTTTATTTTATTTTTTATTTTTATTTATTTAAATATATTTTATTTTATTTTTTTTACAGAGAGGAAGGGAGAGGGATAGAGAGCTAGAAACATCGATGAGAGAGAAACATCGAACAGCCGCCTCCTGCACACCTCCCCCACTGGGGATGTGCCCGCAACCAAGGTACATGCTCTTGACCGGAATCGAACCCGGGACCTTTCAGTCCGCAGACCGACACTCTATCCACTGAGCCACACCGGTTTTGGCTTTTTTACTAGAATTTTTAAAAGTTTATTAGCTGCAGCTTTGGAGGTGGAGGGACTGTGCTTTGTCTGAAGTGAGGGCCGTGTGGAGGCCCTGAGCAGTGGCTGCCGGCCGGCCCGGGGGAGGGAGGCAGTCCCAGGAAGGGGGGTGTAGGAATGAATAACCGCGAGGACCCGCGTGGGCGAGCCTTTAATATGGAGGGAGGGCGTGGGAACCACAGCGGCCCCTGGAGCCTCTGAGCACGCACAGGAAACCGGTGAGGGCCAGGCCCTCCTCTCGCAGGCGCCGAGCGGCTTTAGCTGCTGAGTGAGTCTGTGCGAGGGTGGAGAGAGGAAGGTGGCAGGACGTGTACGTGCCCTGAAATGTCGATGCTTTTGATCACATACTTCTTTCTGGAAACGTGTCCGGGAAGCCTCGCCTGCCATCTGCCCGCTTTCCTCCGAACCCAGCCCTCCCAGCGCTGCTCCAGAGCGTGCCCGGCGTGCGGGCGAGGGCGGGCGAGGCGGAGGCGGGCGGAGCTGGACGCCGGCTTCGGACATGGACACGGGACTGAGACGTGTGCTCCCTGTCGTTGCAGATGAAGACGGTCAGCGTGGCCTTGGTGTTGTGCCTGAACGTCGGGGTGGACCCCCCGGACGTGGTGAAGACCACGCCCTGCGCGCGCCTGGAGTGCTGGATCGGTGAGTCCGGGGCCGCGGGGCGGGGAGGGCGGCGGCCGGCGCCGTTTCTGTAAACCGGAGCACCGGGCCTGCATGCTGTGGCCGCCCGCCCCTGGCCGCGGCTGAGTGTCGGGGAGTCAGTAAAATTCCTCCTGCGTCTGGCGGGAGCAGGCACTGGTCACCACTCTGCAGTGAGTGACCGGCCCTGCACGCAGGTGCTCACTCCCCGGGCGGGAGCCTCGGCTCGCCGTGAGGAGGGTGTTAGCCGGGGTTCGAGGGCAGGCGTGCGGCCTCCGCGTCCTGTCGGGTGCGGCTGGCTGAGCCATTCTGCTGACAGCTGTCCGTCACCGGCCAGCAGGTGCCCGCGGACTCCACGGTGAGGTCCCCTCCCTGTCACCGGAGAGCGGCCTGGGCGCCGAGCTCTGAGACCGCGCCAGCCCGCCTCTCCCTCGCGCCTCGGCTCACTCCCGCGAGCTCACGTGTCCTCTCCCCCGGCTGACGATTGGTCGTCTCTGCTGCGGCTGCCCTGCCCGGGGAGGCGCAGGCTGAGTCCCAGCCACGGGCCTCAGCAGCTGCTGGCACGGAGCAGGAGGGTGCCGGGGCGCCTCTGGGCCTAGCCCCACGCGGACGTGGGGCTGGCAGGCCCCAGCGGGTGGCACGCCATGTTCACGTGGAAACCCGGGGTGCGCTCAGCGCGCCCAGGGACCCGGGAGCTGTTCTGCGCAGGTGCTCGGGCGAGGCCAGGAGGGGAGCCTCGCACCAGGAACAGCCTCACGTGGCGAGGAGCTCCGAGTGCAGGGAGCAGCGCCAGCCCGCAGCTCCGGGGCAGCTGGGGGGAGGGGGGCTGGTGCTGGCCTCTGCACCGAGCTGTGTGGCCCCTGGTGACCCTGCGCCGAGAGGAAGGTGCTGCCGGGCCCTGGCCCACCTCCGTGCCTGCTGCGGGAACCTTTGTTCCCGGGTCCTCGCCTAGAGTGTCGCCGTCTCCCTGGCAAGGTCTGTGCCGCTGCTGGACACCTCCCGACCCTGCAGTGACGTTTGTGTCAGGACAAGGCTGTGCTGTGACAGGGCTTCCCAGCCAGGCCCTCCGCGCTGCCCAGCACTCTCCTGCTTCTGGTGGCTGCGCTGCCCTGCGGGTGGGGTGGCTCGCTGGTTAGCGCTGCTGGAGCGTGGAGAAAGCTCTGAGCCGGAGCTGCTGGCCCGGCAGTGCAGCCGACGCTCCCGGCTCTGCCTCGGCCCAGGAAGGCGCGGTGCCTCTCACCGTACCGCTCTAATTGCCAATGCGTGCAGGGGACTGGTGATGAGACGGGCGCTAAAAGCCATTGCTGGTTTCAAAGCGGCCCTTTGCCAGCGCTACATCCTCAATTAAAGCCCTCCTCAAGGTGACTCAGCTAATTAGTGGCAGAGTCCTTCAAAGTCCTGCGGAGAAGCTCGGTCCATCGGCCTGCTCGTCACTAAGGCAATTAGCACACGCCTGTGGGAGGGCCGCTCCGCGCACGGAGCAGTGGCCGCGTGTGGCCACGTGTGGCCACGGAGAGGATGAGGTCAGGCCCAGGTCAAGAAGCATGGCCCCGCGGCTGGGGCCCAGTCCAGCCAGGGCCCAGTCGTGTCTCTCGCACCTTCCACCCCCCCTTCTCCCGCCCCCTCCCGGCAGCTCCTGTTTCATATGCTTAGCTGGTTTTCAGAAGCCCCAGAGGCTTTGTTGTTGTTAATCTTCACACGAGGATATTTCCCCATTGATCTTCTCGGAGAGCAGAGCGGAGGGAGGGAGGACAGCAGGGAGGGGAAGAGAGAAGGAAAACACCTGGGCTGGCTGCCGCCAGACTGGCGGGAGGGAAGACGGGCGGGGAGCCCACTGGCGGCTGCGGCCCCGGGCACCTGTCGGAGCAGGTGTGGCAGAAGCGGCAGAACTAACCGGTGCTGGTCTGTTTTTTTAGTCATTTTTCATAATAAATGTTTATGTCCAAATGTACTGGGTTCTTACTTTAAATAAACGAATAAATAAACTTAAAATGTCTCACCCGAATTTTGAACATGAGGCTGACAGACACAGCAGACTTTGAAAGTGTGCAGAGCTCCCGGCCCAGGCGGGCGGGATTGCAGCTCCAGCGACTCGCTCTGGAGCCGTCCGAGAGCCTCGCTGTGCAGGCGGTCCGGGAGGGCGCCCTGCTGTGTGCCCCGTCCGCTCCCGTGTGGGCGGACGGGGGCTGCGGGCGCGGCGGCCCTCCCCGCGCGGTGGAGGACAGGCCACACCGAGCCTTCATTCCGAGGCCGGACTGAGGCCAGAGGGGGCTGGCGGGTGCAGGCCCCGGCACCGAGAGGCTGGGGTGAGGCAGGCCGGTGGCTGTGAGCCAGTCTCCTCTGCAGGCGGGAGCCCGCGTGGGCGCCCAGCCGCTCCGCCACCTGCTCGGCACAGATGCACTGGCCGGGCGACCGGGAAGTGAGCTGTGTGCGAGGACTGGGCTTGCGGGGGACAGGCACCTGTAATGACCCCTCTCCTTGCTTCTCAGATCCTCTGTCCATGGGTCCGCAGAAAGCCCTGGAGACCATTGGTGCCAACCTGCAGAAGCAGTACGAGAACTGGCAGCCGCGGGTAAGGCTCTGCTGCTCTCCTGGGGGGCGGCTCTGGTGTCAGTGCGAACCCAGCGGGAGCTGTTGGCGTCATCACCACGCAGCTCCAGCTCCACGGCCCCCCCCCCCCCATTCCCCTCCATGGGTCCCAACTGGCCCGTCGGCTGTTTATTTCCCCAAAGTATGTCCCGTGTGCGTGCCTTTCGCAAAGGAGATGCCATCTCAGCCACTGCAGCTCCACTACTGAGCGCTGGCCTCCCAGCCCCGGGGCCGGCCTCGAAGGTGCACCGGGCCTCCTCTTTGGTGGCCTCCTCACGCGCCCGTGAGAGGAGGGGCATGGGGGGCGGAACTGTGCCAAGTTGCCTTGACCGTCTTAAGTTATTTGTAAACACACACACACACCACCGACCTATTTCCCTTCGCCATTCCGTCAGCTGGCTTGAGGGTTTAACCGGCAGTGAGAAGTGAATGAGAAATGGTGGGTGTCCCTCCTTCCTGGGGACGGGCCGGGGTGCGATGAGGAGGGCAGTGGCCTGCCCGCGCCTCTGAGGTCAGCCTCCTAGCCCTGGGAGGGCACCCTTTGTGAGTGCTCAGCCCCGGGCCATCACTCACCCCGGGAGGCGAGGCCGGAAGCGAGCTGGTTTCTGCCAGCGGAGAGGCCGGGTCCCTGCTGCCGAGCTCTGGCTGCGCTCCCTGCACAGAGGAGGTGTAACGGCGCTGACCGCTAGCCCTGGACATGGGTTTGCGCAGAGGAGGACGCGAGGAAGTGTTCGCAGCAAGAGGGCGCAGCAGCCCGGGCAGACCTCCCTCCGTCTCCCGGGGTGCTGCCGAAGGCCCTGCCGGCCCCGCTCCCCGGCTGGCTGCTCCCAGCGCCCGGCACTGACCTACTTGCAGGGCGTATTTTTAGAGGAACAGGCCTGGCTCTGTCCCTCACCAGCTTCTCAAGGATAGCGCCTCTCACGGGAGAGTTTGTTCTGTGTGCGGCAGACTGCGAAGGAGACCAGCCGTCCTGTGAGGCCTGAAACGGTGGCGCCACCGCCTGGCGGGCCCAGACCGTGCGGGGCGGTTTCCCCCGCTGCCCCGGCGGGCGCAGAGCTCCAGGGCGCGTGCGGGTGGCAGTGGAGTCGGAGCAAGTGCTGCGCTGCCAGAAGCGGGACCTGTGCACGGAGAGCGTCCCGGACGAGGAGGTGCCAGAGCCTGCCGTCTGCTCGCCATCTGTGACGGGAAGAGGTGTCAGATGACGCGCAGCGAGCGAGAAGGTGCCATCGAGGGGGCAGGTGGCGGCGGAGGGACGGCAGCGCCACGCGTCCAGCACCCCCCAAGCGTCAGGGTGACACTCGGTGGAATTTTTAAGAAACAGAGATAAGACTCATGTAACGACGTTATAAATGGAACCTTGCGGCACATGGCCGTGTATGACTCCACGCTGAGCAGTGTCTTCACATCCGTCCACGGCAGGCATGCTGCTCCGTGTCTCAGTATCAGTCCTTACTTTGGAGCCGAGGAGTATCCCCAGGGCGGTGCGCACTGCTCGCCACCGACCACCTGGGGGCGGGCGGCTGCCCCTCGGGCTGTGCGCCGTGTGCGTGGGCTCCTCGTGGACGGTTCCTTCTCTCGGGCTGCGCCGGGAGCGGAACTGCTGGGTCAGACGTAGCTCTGCGCGCCTTCCTGAGGCCCGCACGCTTTCCGCCCCTGCGTCTGCCCCCGTGTCTTCCAGCCTCGCCAACGCCTGTTATTTTCTGAGTTTTAAATGATTATCATTATCTTAGCCGTCCGGTGGGTGTTTCTAAGGTTTCAAGTTGCGCTTCCTTAGTGACAAAGTATGTCGAACACTTTCAGCACCCACTGCCACCGTCCGCCTTCTTTGGGAAAACAGTCTATTCCCGCTCGGCAGGTCGGTGCAGGTGTGCACGGCCCGTTAGTGGAAGGGAGGCGGGAGGCAGATGGACAGACAACAGACCTGCCATCTACTACCCTTTCCTCAGACTGTTCTGTTTCTCTTCTGTTCCACCCCCGGGCAGCCTCCACCTTCACCCATTTCCCTGGCTCTTTCTGTCGACGTTCTATGTGCCGAACGTGGGGTGCAGGCCCTGTGGTCCGAGGACCACAGCTTCTCTGCATTTCGGCCAGAGCCTTGACGTGCTGAGCAAGCTCAGCACAGTGTTTTCAGTGTCAGATGTCACTTCCTGCCCCGGCTTTGTGAAGGGCAGGCTGGTGTTGACGGGAAGAGGATCTGCAGCCTGGAGTGTGCTGGGCAGCTCACTCAGCCTGTGTGTCTGCACACCCCACTGCGCGCGGGAGCCAGAGCCACTTCCCAGACTCCCTTGCAGCTAGACCCCGCTAACCAGCGCTCATGCAGACGGGCGTCTGTAGCAGGTGCCTGCAGAGGGCGACGGTGGGAGCTGCCTGGTGTGCTGGCACTGCGTGTGCAGCGCAGTCTGTGTTCTGCCCCCGGTCCTGCCCAGGGCTGACACCTGCCCTCCTGGGGCGGGAGGAGCCGGGCAGCAGGCAGGCGTCTTCTGCTCCTTTTTTGCCGCCTCCCTGCCCGCTCCTTCCTTCTCCGCTGCTGCCTCCCCGGGACCTCCGGGCACACGTTTCCTGTCGTTCGGGCTCGGGGCCCCGGAGATCGGTGCCGGCACAGTGGGCAGGTTTTAGCCTCGCTGTGGCGTTTCTGCGCCTGCTCGCCCGCTCACACATCATAAATCTCAGACAGGCCGCAGCTCCTGTCCCCTCCCCCGCCGCGGGCCGTTCCCCGGCCTCTGCGCTCCATGCAGCTCAGCATGTGCTGGCGTTTAATTTACTGCTGTTCATTTCGGAGCCCTAAAAACATTAATTAATCCCCACGAAGCCCCAGGAGGCGCGTTCCTGATATCGCAGTGCCCTCGCCACCCCGTTGCGTGTCCTTGCGGGCGCTCAGTGAGGAGACAGGCTGTCCCACAGCAGCCCGCAGCGGGCTTTAATGGAGCCGAGGTCAGAAACACGGTCCCAGGCTCGTGAGTCGCTGAGTGGATGGCCGTGGCCCGGGAGCAGCCCTCCTGGTCAGGATGTGCCTCCGGAGGCCTTGCCAGGCTGTGGGGGCAGGGGGAGGACTTCCCTGCAGGGAGCCTGGCGCCCGTTATTCTTGGCCCAGCACCCCTGCGTGTGGGTGGGAAGTGAACTCGGATCCCAGGAGCCACAGCCGGGGAGCAGCCGGCCCTCTGGGCTCTGTTTGGGCCCCTTTCCTGCTGCCCCTTCTCAGGCTCTGGAAGCTTCTCCCGCAGCCTCCCTGCTCCTGGTCGAGGCCGCAGGGAGACCTCTGCGGGTGGCCTGCGCGTTCGGCTGCTCTCACACCTGGACAGGCCCTGGTTTGGGGCGGCTCTGCTCAGTGGCAGCAACGTGCCGAGGTCCAGCCGCGCTCCCAGCAGGCCAGCGCCGCCGGCCCTCGGGGGGCGCCCTCTGGAGGTTGCTGAGAGCCACCGGGTCCGTGAACGGGGCTTCCCTGCAGGGTGATCCTGTCGCGCTGGCGGTGCTGGCGTGCTCCTCTGCCCCTGAGCCCGCGCTTCTAGAAAGTGCTCCGTCCCCACGCACCGTGCTCACCTTCACTCAGCAGTCCCGGTGGGCGCGCTGTCTGCCCGCGCGGAGCCCGATGCCCCAGCATCTACAGCCCGGTGTGCGGGCATGCGCGGGGCTGGCGTTGGGCTGTCACCGGCTCTTCAGTGCAGGCTCCGAGGGGCTGGTGTCCCGCAGACCCAGCAGGCTCTCCATCTTGTCCGCGACAGGCGCGGTACAAGCAGAGCCTGGACCCCACCGTGGACGAGGTGAAGAAGCTGTGCACGTCGCTGCGCCGCAACGCCAAGGAGGAGCGGGTCCTCTTCCACTACAACGGCCACGGCGTGCCGCGGCCCACCGTCAACGGCGAGATCTGGGTCTTCAACAAGGTGAGCGGCCGGGCCCGCCCGCCCCGCCCCGCCCCGCCCGCCCCGCCCCGGGCGCCTCCTGCCGAGCCCCTGCGGCGTCTGGCCTGCGTCACCCACCTGCTGTTTTTCCAGAACTACACGCAGTACATCCCGCTGTCCATCTACGACCTGCAGACGTGGATGGGCAGCCCGTCCATATTCGTCTATGACTGCTCCAACGCCGGCCTCATCGTCAAGTCCTTCCGGCAGTTCGCCCTGCAGCGGGAGCAGGAGCTGGAGGTGAGGCCGCGTGCCTGGAGGGGGCTGCGCGCTGGGGGCGGGGCTGCGTGCTAGGGGCGGGGCTGCGCGCTGGGGGCGGGGCTGCGCGCTGGGGGCGGGTAAGATGGACAGTTGGGGGGACACACACACGACCTTCTGTGACAGGGAACGATGTTAAGAGACTCCCCAGTCGGACATCACGTCACAGCCTTCCTTCATGCTCTCCCCAGGTCGCGGCCATCAACCCCAACCACCCTCTGGCCCAGATGCCCCTGCCCCCGTCCATGAAGAACTGCATCCAGCTGGCGGCCTGCGAGGCCAGCGAGCTCCTGCCCATGATCCCCGACCTCCCGGCCGACCTGTTCACCTCCTGCCTCACCACCCCCATCAAGATCGCCCTCCGCTGGTAAGGGGCCGGCTCTGCCCTGCGGGAGGCCGATGGTTTCTGATTGTCTTCTGTTGGCCTCCATCTTTCTATGATCAGAAAGCGAAACCTTCAGTAATTCTGGAACGGGCACATGCTTGCTCTTCCCATAATGCCCCTCGCCCCAGGTCATCAGTGGGTGTGAGGACCGCAGTGCATCCTCCCTGGCTTTCTCTCGGTCTCCGATGGAGGGGCAGCATTCCACTGAAGTGTGCATGGAGCGTGTGTGCTTCCGGAAGTAGCCCCGGTCCCCAGCAGGAGGACGGCATGGCGGGCCAGCGCCTCGGCCCACAGCACACAAACACGTGGTCTGCCAGGCGCACGACGGGCGGACCGAGGCTGGGGAGTTCCCCGTTACCCGGAGGAACTGACAGTTTAGACATCAGTGGCCAGTGCTGCCGTGTCCTGTCTGCAGGGAAGTGGGCCTGGCCTCGCCCAGCAAGAGGTGGCGGTGTGGGACCCACAGGGCAGGGGGCGGGCCCTGCCAGCGTGGTGTCTGTCTCAGCTCAAACCCTCGCCTGACGTTTGCCTGTGTGTTTTCGTGAAGACTCACCGAGTCAGAATGACCTTGGGGAGCACAAACCCCGCTGCTTCTCAGCGTGGGGCTGGTGGCTTGTTCTCCAGCGTTTTCTAGAAGGCAGTGTCTGTGGGAGACATGCCCTGTGCACCCCTTCCTTGCCCCCCCCTCCTGCACTGTAGACCTCCTGCCTCGCCTTCGTGTCTGAGGACGGAGAGGGCTGGGCCTCGGCCGGGGCTGTGTGGACGATCAGAGAACAAAGTTGTCCCAGCTTTTCCCTGTGGGACCGCACAGCTCGGCCCCGGCCGCAGGGCCATGGGGTCAGGGACTGGTTTCCTCTGGAGGGCTCCACATTGGCCCAGCCACGCCTGTTCCTTCTGCTGAGCCCGGATGGCTCCCGGGGTCAGTGTGGGGCTCTGTGCTGCCTGCCCACCATGAGGAAAGTCGTTTTTCTCCCAAACCAGACATGTGCTCTCGGTCCGTCTCCTGGCGCGCAGGCGGCTAAGATGAATGGCCGTGTCGCCGCGCTGCTTTGAAAGCGGGCGTGCGAGCCTGGCGCATGGCGCTGCGGAGGGATGGCAGCCGGCGGCCCGGCCTGGGGCCATAGGGAGTGCAGGGTTGACAGTCCTGCCGGGAGTCCCCCACGACAACGCCAGAAACCCGGGACCCTGGGAGGGTGTAGCCTCTGCGGAGCAAGGGAGGCGGGGAGGGTGAGGGCCCGAGGGGGAGGCAGGCCTAGGGCACAGCGCAGGAGGAAGGCGGAGGGAAGGAGAGAAAGAGGGTCCTTCGTGGGACACAGAAGCACCGCCACAGACACGGCCCTGTGCCAACACGCACACGCACACAGGCACACACACACACACACACAGGCACACACACACACACAGGCACATACACACAGGCACACGCTCACATAGACACACACACACACAGGCACTCAGTGGACAAATACACAGACACACAAATTGAGGCAGACACACCGGCACACACAGGGGCTCACACACACACAGGCACACACACACACAATCACATACACATGCATGCGCGCGCGCACACACATGCACGCTCGCTCACACACACACTCACACAGAGGCACTCAGTGGACAAATACACAGACACACACGTAGAGGCAGACACACCGGCACACACAGGGACGCACGCACGCACGCACGCACTGCGGATGGTTCGGGATGAAGCATCGCAGGGAGCTGCCGCACAGCGAGAGCAATCACCTCGGCCCGGAGCGCCGTTCCGGAGGCGGCCGCCGGCTTCCTATTAGGCTGCCGATTAGCGTGCTTCATTATCTTCATAGGAGGATGGAGGGCGGTTATCTGATAAAATTGAAAATGAATTTTAATAAAAACCAACAAGAATAGAAGCAAACTCCCTTTGCGAGAGGGAGGTTTTCTCTAGTCCCCCCCCCCCCCCAGGAGAATGGCAGGAGCCGCCCTGCGAGGCCTGCGGAGGGCCTGCCACCCCTGCGCACTGGGAGCCGCCAGCTGGCAGCAGCGCGATGCCTTAGCAGCTCCTCGTCTGCACCAGGCTCGCCCGGGCACCAGCAGGGAACGATGGGAGGGGCAGGAGGGCAGCAAGCTCGGCACAGACCCTCTGGAAGACTGAGATGCGGGGCTTGGCCCGGGGCTATGGCTCTCCCGTGAGGACATCGGGGGCAGCGGCATTTTCCCGCTGAGCGCCCGCGTGTGACGGCTGTTCTCTCCGCAGGTTCTGCATGCAGAAGTGCGTCAGCCTGGTGCCCGGAGTCACGCTGGACCTGATCGAGAAGTGAGTGAGGCGTCGGGGCCTGCGCCTGGGTCGGGGCTCTCCCCGCCTCCTCAGGCCCTTCCTGTGGCGCGGCCTGCTCTCCGGCTGAGGCTGCGTGGGGGCGGCACGTCAGGGCTAGCCTAGGACACGCTCAGGTGGGGCCGCTTGTAAGAAAAAGAATGAGAAAATCCTCCAGCGCCGAGACAGGTTCCCTGCGGCACCAGGCCCGAGCGGGGTCCCCCCCATGTTCTGCCTCGGGCAGATGCCAGGGGCGGCAGGGGTGAACTCTGGCGCATTGGCGTTGCGTGGCTTTGCCCATCCTGGTCGTGGGCCGGCGTGTCCGCTTCTGGCTGGGAACCGGTTCGGGTCTGACTCGCCATCTGGCGACCCTGCACTTGACCTGGTTTCTGTGTGTGTTCGCTCCCTCTGTGCCACCCCGAGTCGGGCAGGCGGTGGCTCTCAGCTGCTGCTCTGCCCGTGGCGTCCCGGTTAGCACGGAGAGCTCGCTTTCTCAGTCTGTAAATGAAGGTCGTGTGGTAAAATAGCCGAGGCTGATATTTTTTAAAATATTTTTTTTATTGATTTCAGAGAAGAGAAAGGGAGAGAGAGACGTCCATGACAAGAGAGAATCATGGATTGGCTGCCTCCTGTACAACCTCTCCTGGGGATTGAGCCCACAACCAGGACCGGTGCCCTTGACCGGAATCGAACCCAGGACCCTTCAGTCCACAGGCCGATGCTCTATCCACTGAGCCACACCGGCCGGGGCCGAGACTGGGTTTATTGAATGTGGTGGACGAGCAAGCCGGCCTCTGGGTCCCTCCCCTGGACAGCGCCTTGCCCGAGCCTGGGCCGCATACAGGAACGCACACCTAAGCCCCTCCCTGGCACCCGCGCTCCATCGTGGTGCATTCCTGCACACGGTGTGAACAGCCTGGCAGCCACGCGCTGAGTGGGACAATGAGACCCGTCCGTGCAGCCTTCAGAGCAGGCGCCGCGGAGAGAGGCGGGGGCGGGGGGGGGGGGGTGGTGTCCTGGTCGGTGAGGGGGAAGAGCCGTGTTAAGTGACTGATTTTTCCCACCTTCGTCAGTGTGTTACAAGAATGAGGGCATGTAGAATGCATGTGCAAGTAAACGTAAAAGGGAAAACCAACAACATGTAAGTGGAGACCTGCAAGAGCGCGTTAGTGTAGAATTCTTTATGTTCAAGTGCACGCAGAGGCCGTGTGACTCGCCCACATCTGTGCCTCTGGGCTCTGTGCACACGCAGACGGGCCGTGGGGACGGGAAAAGCCAGGCTGGCACGGGCCGGGCCAGCAGCAGTGGGACGGTGACGCTCGTGCCGGCATTGCCGTGGGCGGCGCAGAGCCGGCCGAGCTGACGGCCCGCTCTGTGGAAGGCGCCTGCCTCCGGGGTGCAGGGCCGCCTGTCGGCAGTCGGGGTCCGGCAGGGGCCGCTCCGCACTGTGACGGCCGGCGGGAATGCCGTGTCCATCCTGCACCGCCGGTCACGAGACAGGAGCGGGGCTGCGGGCGGCCCCCCCGGCGGCAGAGCTGCGCGCCTGCCGTCCGCTTCCTTCCCAGGAGCGTCTGCTGTGGCGCGTGGCGCCTGCCAGCTCCGAGTCGTGAGCGGCGGAGGCTGGTGGCAGATGGCGCAGCGCTCACACACTCAGGTGCTGGCACACAGCGTGTTCTCGGGGAGCTGCGCTGGAGGGCGTTTAGGAAATGAGAAAACTCCGGGTCTGCCCGCTCGGCCGTCTGCTGGCTGTGTCTTGAGGTTTCAGGGTCCGGGAAGCCGCCCGTTCCCGGGCGTTGCTGGGCGCTGTCCCGGCGTCTCCCTCTCCCTCCACGTCTAATCCCGACGCATCGATCCCAGCGCTGCATGTTCCTTCACGCGTGATTCCTCAACGAACCCGCGTGCAGGAGGTCCCGGCAGCACCTTCTCAAACGCAGCCTCCCCGTGCTCGTTTCCGGGGTCCACGGCACTGACCTTGGCCTCCCTACGACCTGGAGCGCAGCCGAGCGGCCCCTCCTCTGGCTTACCGGCCAGGAGCCGGCGGTCAGTGCCGTGGACCCCGGTGGCGTGTCCCCGGCAGGGGCGCCCTCCGGCACAGCCCGCCTTTCCAGCCCGCGGTCAGCACGGCCAGCTCGTCCTGTCACCTCGCGGTTTAATGGGACCACGCCTCCCTCCCTGGACGAGCTCCACAAAAGGAAAACGGTGGATTGTGCTTCCTCAGGACTCACCGTGTTCGCCTCGGAGGGACACGTGAGGCGTGGGCAGAGCCTCCGAGTTGGGGACGGCCCGTCACCTCATACAGTTGATAACGGACGCTGAAGCCCCGAACGAGCAAAGCGCACCCGTCACCAGCGGGCAGAGGCCTGGCGAGACGGCTGCGCGCCAGGGAGAAGGTGCTCCATGTTCTGCGCGGGCGGGCTCAGGGTGCGAGGTGAGGCCACAGCGAGGTGCCGCCACCCGTCACAGCGACTGCAGAGCAGACCCCGGCGTGCAGAGCGGGAGCCACCACGGAGCCGCCGCTGGCACTGCCCGGGGAGATGGGTGCGCGGCCCCGGAGAGCGGCCAGGGGCTTCCAGCAGCTGGGCAGGGTCAGCCCGGACGCCAGCGGGTGGGTACGTGTTTTTCGCCGGGACCAATTCCAGACCCTAGAACTCTGGAAATCCCACGCATCACGGTCGCGGGCAGCGGGCAGGCGCCACAGCTTCTCCTCGGAAGGTTCTGGACGTGGGGTTTGTCCATGCTCTGCCGGCTCAGACCTGCCCGGAGCAGGCGTGACTGCAGGCTCCGACGGGCGCGGGAAACCTCGCCTCATTTCACCACTTCACTCGCACTTTCTGGAGATTCTTCTCGAAATGTGCAGCTCGCAGCCCAGCTTCGGCCCCTGGAGGTGGGGCTGCACCCACTGCCTTAGGGCCCCTGGAGGACGGGCATTAAGGAGCTGGTGTTGGGAGAAAGCTGTGAACGTTTCACAGCACATACATGTACTGGTCTGGGCGGTCAGTGAATCAGTGGTGCAGCGTGGACAGCTGTTGGAGGTGCGGTGAGCTCTCCGCCCGGGTTAGCCGTGATGCTCCCACGTGTTCCCACGTACTGTGACGGTGCGTGTGCGTGTGTGTGAGGCAGTCATTAGCAATCTACAAAGCTGTTTTCTAATTAGGCTGCCGAGTATGGAGTACGGTACAGCGCACCTCCTTGAGCACCGATTCTCATTATCTCCCCGAGCCTCACAGAGAGCGGCAGTGAGACCATGCGTGGAAATGAAGGGGCGTTTCTCAGCTCTGAGAGGAAGTAATGAGACACTCAGCAGCGCTGGGAGTATGGGGTGCGCAGGCAGCTCCCGGGAACCCAGGCGCAGAGCGTCCTGGCTGCTGGCAGAGGGCGACCAGGACTTATTCATAATCGCCGCCTGTGTGTAGACAGCACCGCTGCAGCAGCTCAGCACACGCGTCCCAGCCCAGGCCTGGGAGGCAGAGCGGCGGCCGCGCCCTCCGGAGCTCCGGGCCTGGTGCTGGGAGTGCAGAGCAGTCACCGTGGTTCCCGTGGCGGAGACGCAGCTCCCAGGAGGGGCACCTGCTGTGTGCGCCAGCTCTCCCAGCCCTGGGGGGCCTTTGCAGGGAGGTGAGCGGGGCTGGGCCAGGCCCGTGCGGCCAGCCCTCCGTCGCTGTCCCCAGGGAAGGGCCCGGCATAGCGGAGGGAGGGGCTGCGGCGGCCAGCAGCTCAGTCGCTGAGATTGGAACTCGCTGCCGGCAGGTCGGCCTCGTGCATGTGCGTTATGTTTGAGAGGAAACTGAAAAGACGCCTGTCTTCCCTCAGCAAGAGCCTTTCTTTCCCACGTAAACAGGAAGTCGGGAATTCGTTAGTGGCCGCCCACACTGGTGGGATGAGTGATGACCACGGCAGCTGGGTTAGTCAGAAGCAGAAAGCACAGCCCAGAGGCGGCAGGGAGTGCGCTGTGGGGATGGAAGAGCCGTGGCCCCTCCCTCAGCCACCTCCGTCTGCCGCTTAGCTCCTGGCTGTCCCAGGACCAGGGTGCTGGGTGAGGGCTGGACCGAGGGCGCACCGCCCCGTTGTGCTAGACACACACCCCATTGCCGGCCGCCCACTCGTCTGATGAGCCAGTGTGAGGGCTCGGCTCAGAGCTGGCCTTGTGGCCGAGGGAGGGAGAGCCCGGGCACATTCCCTGCACAGGCCCGCACCCGTCTCGGTCCCGGAACAAAGGCCACAGAGGCCTTTCCTCGGCTGCGTCCCCAGAGGCCTTCCACCCAAACACCGGCGCCCTCCTGAGCGCGGCTCTGCCGGAGGAGCCCGCTCTGGGCCCCGGGCTGGGCTCCGGGAGATGGTCTGACGCCAGGAGACGCACAGAACAGCCACCGGCGAGGCTCCGGCCTGGGCGCGGCTGACTGAGGGTCCTGAACCCGCCCTCGTTGACAGTCTGTCTTCCTGTGTCGGACGCGTGAACTGTGAGCCTGGGCTCCCTGGGGTCCTCTGCGCAGCCTCGGCTCCGTCCCTGGGGTGTCTGGCAGGGACGGTGCAGTCCCGTCGTTCTGCAGGAATGTCGATAGGCGGCGGGTCAGCCCCGGGCCATTTAACTCCTGCTCGCCCGGAGCCGGGAAATCAGCACTCCCTCCCTTCCAAATCGCCGGTGGCGGTGAGCGGTTTGGTCTGTGGCCAGCCCTGCACGGTGGTCAGCAGGCGACACGTGGGCTGTGAACCCGCCAGCTTCTGAGGGGGGCCGTGTGATCCTGTCACACACCTCGGGCTGTGCTTGCCCCACGTCCTGCTGGCGGTGTCCGAGAGGCGCCGGGGCTGAGCCTTTCAGACAGCGGGTCTGTGCACAGCCTCAGAGGACAGACACACCACGTTTCCCAGGAACACGGCTGCTCTCGGTTCTGTGTCTGAATGTGTGTGTTGACATGTGGTTGTGGGTGTCTCCAGGTGAAACACGTTTCTCGCTAGGACTTGTCTCCACAGGAGCCGGATATGCCCTGTGTGTGCATCTGTCACTTCTCATCGGTGCCCTGAGCACCTGGGTTGTCCTGTCCTGCGTGTGGTCCTGCCTTCACGTGACAGCACAGCCGAGGGGGGAAACAGCCCGGCGAGAAGGCAGCCGTCGGCATGCTGGGCAGAGCCCTCGGCAGACCCTGACCTTGCCGGCACCTGGCCTTGGCCTCCAGTCTCCAGAACTCTGAGAAATAGATCTCAGTCGTGGCATTGCGGCACGGCAGCTCGAGCTGACCAGCCACGGTGCCTGGAGGCTTTTCATCGGCCTCTGCACCCTGGACCAGTGCTCCCCGCTTCGGGTCCTTTTGGACCTGCACTGCCTGTCCAGTCCCGCCTTCTCTTTCCTGCTGACCCTGCTGCATCCCTGGGCCTGCCCCTTCCTCACCAGCGCTCGGTGCTGGCTTAACACGCGGTCTTCAGAGGCTCTGAGCTCCTGGGTTTCAGACCTCCAGCTGCAGCTGTCTGCCAGCCAGCGTCCCCAGCTTTGTCTGTAATTCCGCGAGCACCCCCCGTGCAGCGGCTGCCACAGCCCTGACCTCACCGCTCCGATCCTCTCCTGCCGCTGGCTCCTGCGTGAGTGCCTGGTTGGTTTGGACTGAAAGCTGTGAACTGAACGTGGACATCGCACCGAGCCCCGGGGTGATGGGAGGCGTGAGGTCTGAGTCGTTCCAGCTCACACCCAGGCCTGGCTCAGAGCCCGTCTCCTCGGCAGCACCTCCCTTCCCTGCTCTCCCGCCGGGAGCCTCCGGCCGCTGCTCTGCCTCAGTCCTGCGTCAGGACCGCCAGGTTCAAGGCTGGGCTTCCCTCTCCGGCCTGGCCGGCCCTGCCCGGACATCAAAAAGGTTCCCCACGGCCTGTCCGGTTGTCTCCGTGGGAGGAGCGTGAGTCACCTCACTGCCACCGCCGGGAGGGAGCCAGGACACGCCGGTGCCGCGTGCTCAGGCTGGCCAGCAGCCCTGCGGGCATCACCGCGCTGCACGGAGCACCTGAGTCAGGGATGAGACCTGAGCCGCTCTCCTGCTCACACAGACACAGCTGCCTTTCCCGCCAGGCCCCTACGCCTTCCTCCCAGCCTTCTCCCACGTGGGCAGCGCAGTCCCGGCCCCGGCAGCGGGCGGAGGACCCCTCGTGCTGACGGCAGCGCCCACACCGGGTCGCACGTCACTCACTGAATGGACCCGATTGTCCTCCCCCGAGACCTCAGAGGACACGGGACCGGTTCTGCTCAGTCTAGAGCAGGAGGCCAGAGAAGCAGGTACATGCGTGGTTGGGTTGGTCCTGGAAAAGCCAGCCAATGAAGAGACGTCTCAGGACGTGCCGGCGGTGGCGGTCCCTGTGCCCCTCCCCCGGCCGGCCAGCCGGCCGGCCGAGCTGCCTCACTGGACGGATGTGAGGGCTGGTGCCCGTGTGGCGAGAGCGCAGGCACGGTGCAGACACCTCCCCGGGCCCTCAAGACGCTGGCTCCCCCGGCCGCTGCCCGCAGGGTGGACACTGCTTTCCGTGTGGCTGTCTTACGATGACGTGCCGTCAGGTCCGCTGGGAGAGCAGAGGTCCTTTTAGAGCCGGCGCCAGGCCCGCCCCATGCCCCAGCGAGGTTCCGTGAGCCCCTGGCATTCCTCAGGGCCCCGGCTGCGGGCCACGGCACAAAGGCCCTGAAGCCACGGAGCGGGCGTGCCTGTGCTTCCGGCGAGCTGGGGTGAGCGCTGTGAGCTTCCTACTCGGGAAAGCTTGCTGTGGCCTCCCTCATCACACAGCACTCAGTTACTGAGCACAGAGAGGCCCTGGAATCGGCGTCACCGCATCCTCACCTGGCAAGCTGGGTGCAGCCCTTCGAGGCTTTTCTCTCAGTGTATTTGTGAGGTTTTATTTTGTTTTTTTTTACAGCTTTTAATATATATATATATATATATATGTGTGTGTGTGTGTGTGTGTGTGTATATTTATTATTGATTTCAGAGAGGTAGGGAGAGGGAGAAATAGAAACGTCAATGATGAGAGAATCTTTGATCAGCTGCCTCCTGCATGCCCCACAGTGGGGATGGAGTCCACAACCCGGGCCTGGGCCCTGACCTCCTGGGTCATAGGTGGATGCTCAGCCCTGAGGCAGCCGGCCGGGCTGTGAAAGCTTTAAAGAGGACGCAGCACCCCTGCATGGGGTTATGTTGACGTGTTTAAAATGACCTGCTTTGTACACAGGCTCCTGGAGGGGTGGTTGGTCGCTACGGTTTCCGGCCGGTCTTAGATGAAGGCATCTGGGACGATTGTCTTACCTTCTCATCACTGGTTCCTTTTAGGGGGTGTGTATTGTTTGCTTGGAAAGCGGCCGCCAGGCAGAGGTGCCGAGCAGCCAGGCCCGCATAGCCGGAGTCCTGGGCAGTCTGCAGGCCCTGTGTCCGGCGGCCCGCGCCTGTGTTCCTGCGGCCTCAGCCTCGGCGCGGCGGGCCCGGGCTGGGACGTCCCTCAGGCTCTGGTGCAGACGGGACCAGACGCCCCTGTTGGGGAGTTAACATGCCTGTGGCTGCACAGTGCGAGCGGCCGGGCTGCCCATGCTCCCCGGAGCTCAGTGAGGCCAGTGGGCCTTCACGAGGGCTGGGGGCTCGGTGTGCCTTTATCTGCCGAGGTCCCAGGTCAGGACTTACAGCACGCCCGGACACACAGCGGCCCTCCCCCAGGGCAGGCCTGGGAGCAGCTCGGCCGTGCTCCTGCCGGTCTGGACTCGGACCTTGGCCAGGGTCTGTCCTCGGGAGCGCTGTCCTGTCGCCCGCCCGCCTCCTCCGTGGCCTTGGGGCTCCACAGCAGGAGGCGAGGCCGAGCCAGGCTCACAGAGCGGGCGGACGGACGGATGGACGGACAAGCATCCCCTGAGCGTCACTCCGAAGTCTTTCCTTGTGATCGTGTTCTCGCCCGCGCTGCATGACGGCGAGCGTGTGGTGTTTGCTTCTTTCCTCGCGTCGGAGAGCAGGCGTGCTGAGCCATGAAAACAGACCCACAGCCTCTGAGGTCCCTCGGGACCGCTTTTCCCGTGTGGGGCAGGCCGTTCCTGACGTCCCTGTTCCGGCGCGTGTCTGCTTCCTGTCGGGTTCAGGCGGCCCAGAGCTGGCGGGCAGGACCTCAGTCTGTGAAACCTTAGAAACAGTTCCACTCTCGCTTGAGCCAGTCCTGGGCTCCTGTGGAGGAGGAGGTTTTCTGAGATGGCAGGCCGTGGTGGGCAGGGGCCCGGCTGCCTCTGCCCACGTGCTCGCCCGGAGCCCCATTGGTGCCAGGCTGGCGCCGGACGGGCTGCGGGCGCTCAGTGTTCGTCGTGCGAAGAGCAGGTGCGTGGACCTCAGGGGACCAGTGTCCTCACTCGGCTCTGGCGTTACCGGAGCCACGGCGGGCAGAGACGCGGAATCGAATGGGCACAGCTGTCCGTGGGGCCCAGTGCATGGCTCATCCTCACAAGGAAGCCACAGGCGGCCGTGTGGCCACTGGGTGTGGTGCCCAGGTCAGGGGCGGAAGAAACGGCTTCGTTTAGACGTGGACGGGAGAGGGGGGCGGGCGAGCTCTCGCTGTGAAGTTGGAGTCTCGGAAGGCCCGGGCCTCTCCCATGGGCAGCGCCCTGCCTGGGCTGGGGCTGCCGGTCTCCTGTGTCCGCGGCCGCGACTGTCACCGTCGCTAACGGAAACGCGCGTTCCCCTAGGATCCCCGGCCGGCTGAACGACCGGAGGACGCCGCTGGGCGAGCTGAACTGGATCTTCACGGCCATCACTGACACCATCGCGTGGAACGTGCTCCCTCGGGGTGAGGCTCTGCGGTCAGCGGCCACGGCCTGGGACACGAGAGGGTCCGAGGGGAGAAATGGGTTCTCGTGGGCAAGAGCTGGCGGGGACAGCAGGGCAGGCCTGGGGGTTCTGTGGGGGGAGGGGGTGGGGCAGGGCTGCGCTGGCGAGGGAGCTGCGTGTGCCCCTGCCCTGACCGTCGCCAGTGTCCTCCCCGGGGCTGGCCGTGTCCCCACGGCCGGACGCAGCTGCCAGGAGCCTCGCAGCGGCCGGGGCCCGTGTTGGCTCACGTGGGTGGAGGGGCCTCTGGCTGAGCCTGGGCGTGTGTCCTGACGGAACGCGTGCTGCCCTCAGACCTCTTCCAGAAGCTCTTCCGGCAGGACCTGCTGGTGGCCAGTCTGTTCCGCAACTTCCTGCTGGCGGAAAGGATCATGCGCTCCTACAACTGCACCCCGGTCAGCAGCCCGCGCCTGCCCCCCACCTACATGCACGCCATGTGGTGAGTCTCCCGCACCGCCTGTGCGGGGCTGACGGCGCCCTGACCTCAGTTTTGCCAGCTGCTGCCCCCGGGCCCGGACTGGTGGGCTCTGCAGGGCTTGTGCCGTGACGAAATCTTCCAACAGCAAGAGCGCCCTCCCACCCATGGACAGACCGGAGCGGCGGCCTGGCCACCCAGGGAGTCAGAGGGCCCTGGGCTGGACGGTTGGCCAGGCTGGTGTCGGCCGGTGTGGAGCGAGGTGGGCTCTCGCAGGAGGAAGGGACCACGCACAGCAAACACGAGGTGGACACGGAGTAACACGTGTGCACGTAGCGGGGCAGCACTAAGGAAGACTGGCTTGCGCGGCTCCTGTTTCATTTTTGATACGCAGCCATCAGAGCCCTTCCCCTCACGTCCAAGTACAGCCCGCCCCGTCCGGAGCCCGGGCAGTGCTCGGCGGCCATGACCTGCGCCCTCCGAGCCCAGCGAGGGCGCCTTGTGCCAACTTCCGTGTGGGCAGCTGCCGTGCTGGCCTGTGTCTGGGCGGCACGTCTCCCAGGGTGGTCCCTCCAAGACCCAGCTGCCCTGGGGGGACGGGGAGGGACAGATGTAGGGGAGCCTGAAGGCAGGGAGGTGGCCGGAGCGTCCCTCTGTCCCTCTGCCGGCGACCCCGCAGAGCCCCCTGCCATCTCAGTCCCAGGGAGCCCCCGGGAGGTGGAGCCAGAGGCCAGAGTGGTTGCCTGGGGCCCGGGAGATGGGCCCAGCAATGTTGTTGTGTGTTTTTTTTGTTTGTTTTGTTTTATTATTGATTTTTTTACAGAGAGGAATAGAGAGAGGGATAGAGAGTTAGAAACATCGATGAGGGAGAATCATCGGTCAGCTGCCTCCTGCACAACCCTCCCCGGGAATGTGTCCGCAGACCGACACTCTATCCACTGAGCCAAACCGGTTTCAGCGGGCCCGACAGTGTGGGCAAGCCAGCCCTGACTCGGGCACCACGGCGGGCATTTGGGTCCGGTGGGGGCACAGCCAGACCTCCTTTCTCCCAGCCTCATGGGCCTGCTCCTAAGGCGCGTGGCCTGGCCCGCGCTTCACGGTGCTGGTGTGACGCTGCCACTGCCGGCCCAGCCGCCCCCTCGGTGGGCAGGCCGCGCCGGGAACACTGGAGCCGGGCGGACACAGCCTTAGACGGGGGTGAGGGGGGGGGCGGTCGCTCTGTGGCTCCCGTTTCAGCTGCATGAGAAAAGAACTCACGGCAAAATGGCTTTAGCTCCTCTGTCTTCCCCGGGGCCCTGCCGCTGCCCTGCTCCGTCCGGGTCCTGCAGGAGCCAGTCGGTGACGCTCTGGTGTCCTCTGCTCTCTCCCCAGGCAAGCCTGGGACCTCGCCGTGGACATCTGCCTCTCCCAGCTGCCCACCATCATCGAGGAGGGCACGGCGTTCCGGGTGAGCCCAGGGGCACCGCGGGGCCCGCCACGGGCCGTCCTCTGTCCTGGCTCAGGGTGCCCGTGGGGTGGTGACAGGACCTGCAGCCCCTGCACTTAGAGCCTCAGAGACGCGTGTCTGTCCCTGGCCAGTGGGCCAGAGGATAGAGCGTGGGCCCCACCCACCAGAGCCGGGCGTGTGCGTGCAGGAGGCAGCGTCCTGTCTCTGTCCTCCTCCCTCCGCTCTAAAATCCGGCGCGAAAACACCCTTGGGTGGGGATTAACCAAAAAATAACGAAAGCTGTGTGTCCGCCGCCGGGGTCGGTGTGAGGCTGGAGCGGTCAGCTCTGGGGAGCGCCGTCCCTGAGGCGCGCTGCCGAATCTGCCCCTCGCTGCGCCCCGCTGGCGCTTGGGGCCCCTCCACTCAGGGAGCCTCCTGAGCTGCCGTCCTGTGAGGCCCTGACTGCGGACGGGGCCGCAGGCCGCGTTCTCCCGCCCCACCGGGCCCTCTAAGCTCCCTGGTGAAGCTGCCGGCTTCCTCCTGGCACCGGCGGCTCAGTGCCCGGAGCTGCTGGGATGCCGCCGGCACGCGCCTCCCCCACGCCGCCTCCGGGGGCAGCACAGGGCCCGAGAGGCGCCGGCGTTTTGCAGTGACCACCAGAGGCCAATTGTCTAAACTGGACGTTCGTCCCCTTGACTTCCTTTACGGCCACCTGCCCTGCGTCCCGCTGCTGACGGCCTCGGGGCGCTCCAGCCCGTCGGCGTGGCTGTGAGCAGTACCCTCACGTTTCACTTTCTGCTCCCTGCCTCTTCCCATACGTTGGTCACAGTGACTGTGTGGCACCTCTCCTGCAGTCACGTCCTGGTTGCAGTGATGTCCCTGTAAATTGCTGGCTTGTAGCACACGCCCGCCGTCCAATGCGTGCGGCTGCCCTCGGAAGCCTGAGCCAGTCGGTGCTGGGCACCCAGGGTGCCAGCTCCTGCCCAGACACACGCCCACCGGCAGCCCCACGCGGGGCCTGGCCCCTCTGCCCATCGGATGGTCAGGATGCTCGTGTCCCTGCACAGGGCCACTTCTCCTGCGTGGCGTGCTCCCTCGGAGAAGGGCCGAGGGGCAGGGGGTCCCCACCTTCTTTAGGTCCAGGCCCCGGCCTGCGCTCTCCGCTGTGGGGCGGCCACTCTTAGCGAGGTTGTCTTGTAAGCCCATTGGTGAGTGACTCACCAGAAACAGGAAAGCACTCTGGGGCTCCGTGCCAGCCCCGTCCGTCCTCCCCTTGGATCGCGTGACTCGGCTGACGCTGCGGGAACACGAATCCTGAGGTGGCGGATTCTCTGTGGGTGTCACGGGCACACCCTGCCCAGGCCCGGTGCCCTGGGCACAGGCCCTCCGTGGAGGCGTGGGGTCAGACGTGTGAATCCCCGCTTCCCCCGCAGCGTCCTCCTCACCCCCCCGGGGGCTCAGCGCCTCCCTGCCCACGTCCAGTCTGCACAGGCCCCCGCTCCACCGCAGCGCCCAGGTCGGACCCCGTCTCCTGCTCTGCTCCGGCCGCACCGGCTCCCCACAGCCGGCGCAGGCGCAGGCGCAGGCGCGGGGACTGAGCTGAAGGGGGCGGCGTGTGCGCTGAGGAAGGCGGGTTCTAACTGCCCCTCCGTCCACAGCACAGCCCGTTCTTCGCCGAGCAGCTGACCGCCTTCCAGGTGTGGCTGACAATGGGCGTGGAGAACAGGAGCCCCCCCGAGCAGCTGCCCATCGTGCTGCAGGTGAGGCCCGCAGGCTCGCCGGGCTGGGAAGGCACCTGCAGCGGAGCCTCGGCCCTGGGCGGGGATGTGGCCGAGTCCGCCCGAGCGTCAGAGAAGGGCTGCGGGGAGCTGGTCAGACGCAGCCCAGCAGCCAGGCGTGATGTCACCTGTGGATGGACCTGTGGCTGTGGCCTATGGGTGTGTCTGTGGGTGTGACCCTGGGTGTGAGCTGTGGCTGTGGCCTATGGGTGTATCTGTGGGTGTGACCCTGGCTGTGACCTGGGGGAAGAGCAGTGTCTCCTGGCCTCTGAGCCTCCGGAGCAGCAGGGACAGCGGCCCCTCGTGGACCTCGGTGCAGGACGAGGGCTGATCCGAGGGACCGGCCTCGCCCCGCATGGCCTTGCAGGTGCCGCCATGACCCTTGTCTCTCCCTGCAGGTGCTGCTGAGCCAGGTGCACCGGCTGAGAGCCCTGGACCTGCTGGGGCGCTTCCTAGACCTGGGCCCCTGGGCGGTGAGCCTGGTGCGTGTCTGCGGGGCAGTCAGAAGCGGCCTGCCTGTGGTGAGGGTGGCGTGGGCATGGCCGTGAGGCCCTGGGAGGGCGAGGTGGGCCTGTGGCCGCCTTGTCGGGTTTGGTTCCGCCCTCCAGCCCCACCTGATGCTGTTGGGTGTCACTTGTAGCACGGAGAGGGCCCCGGCCTGTGGCTCCCCGCCCGCCCCACCCCAGCCACAGGGCCGTTCCCCAGGAGCCCTCATCCCCGCGTCCCTCTCGGCTCTGAGCCCTCTCCCTGCTGCCCTGCAGAGGGGGGGCACGGCTGGTTAGAACGGGAACCGCGGAGCAGTGCGTGTTCCAGCAGACCAGGAGGGAGCTGCGGGGGCGGGGGGTGCCTCTGCGGGGAGAGGGGCCGGCCTGCTGTCAGGCGCAGGGCAGGCCTCGTCTGCTTCGTTTGCAATGACGGGAGCAGGGTGGCAGGCCTGTGTCTGGGGGCTGCTGGCAGGTGAACACCACGCTCACTAGCCCAGTGGGGGCGGGACGGCTGCGGGGCTGGGCCGTTGGGAGAGGCGAGCCGTGGGTCCGCGTTCTCTGGTCTCCGCGTGTGGCTGTTTGTCTCCTCCTCACGTAACGTCGCCGCAGGAGGTGGAGCCATAGTCCTTAAGGGGAGGGGCCTGGGAGGGACAGTCCGGCTGCACAGGTGGCCCAGCGCCCACGGCAGGGTCTGCACACCTGTCAGCGCGCGCATTCACGTGGGAAGAGCAGGAGACAGTGGGAGCGTCGCAGAGTTTTCACACCCGAGGCTCACCCCACAGGACTAGCTCTGGCCCCCGGGACTGAGCCAGGCCAAGGGGGCGTGTGGGGCTGGAAAAGCGTGGCCCGAGGCGAGGCCAGGGTCCCGCCCCAGGAGGGGGCACTGTCCCAGGGGAGAACCTGTCCGGGAGGGGGCACCTGGCTGGAGGCCCAGTACACTGGAGAAAAGGCGGCCCAAGGCCGATGGGACGGACACAGCGGGCTTTGCCCTCGTCCTCCTCACTAAGGGCCGTCTTCTCCCTGAGCCCGAGAGCAGGAAGGACCCGACCCCAAGTGCTTCACTGCTCGTACGGGCCCGGAAGCCCTGACGCTGCACCTTCGGGTGCCCTTGTCCGGAGGCCCTCTCCGTCCGTGCGCACCTGAGGGTCCCGGGCCTTGAGTCCTGCTGCTGAGAACAGGCCAGGCCCTTGGCGAGGACGGGGCTCAGGCTGGCTGGCAGCTTCCAGACAGGAAGTTGGACCTGGGAATCAAGGGAGCCCCGTCTGTGGGCGAGACACCGCTGTCCCATCCCCCCACGGCCCATCTGCGAAGCCCTGCATTGGCCTCGGCCCCAGGGACACCCCGTCCCCGGCCGCCGGCTCCTGTTGACACCCACCCTCCCGCAGGCCCTGTCCGTGGGCATCTTCCCCTACGTGCTCAAGCTGCTGCAGAGCTCGGCGCGCGAGCTGCGGCCCCTGCTCGTCTTCATCTGGGCCAAGATTCTGGCCGTGGACAGTGTGAGTTGCCGTCTCCTCTCCCGTGGGCGTGGCTGCTGAGAGTGGGCGGGGCCACCGCGGGAGAACGTGGGGGTAGCAGGGGGGAGGCCTGCAAAGGAGCTGGTATTGCAGCCAGGCCCCCGCCCCGGCCCCCCCCTACCCCCCGTATCAGGAGGAACTTCCGTCTGCCTCCCGCGTCTCGCTCACCTCTGCCTCTCTCCGCAGTCCTGCCAAGCCGACCTGGTGAAGGACAGTGGTCACAAGTACTTCCTCTCGGTCCTGGCCGACCCCTACATGCCGGTGAGGCCCCTGTGCTGCTCGGATGGAGATGGTGTGGGTCGCTCTCGCCTGTTGTGCTGCGGGCGCCTCGTAGAGGCTCAGGAGACGGTGCCCCCGTCGCCACCCCAGCTGCGGGCTGCGCTCGGGGAGCCGCGCCCATGCTGCCGCCTCCACTTACCCCAGCGCCCTGGAGGTGGCACGCTCATTCGGAGCTGCCAGCTCTCCTGGGAGGGCGTGGCTGGCCTTGGCGTGCAGGGTGGCGTGGTTGGCCTGTCAGCGTCCTGGCTGCCCCTGCACGCCCCCCACTGGGGTGGAGCCCACAGCCCAGGCCTGTGCCCTGACGGAATCAAACCCTGACCTCCTGGTTCATAAATCAACATTCACCCCTGAGCCCACGGCCGGGGACAGAGTATCGAGCTGATACGTCCACAGACGCCAGGGAGAGAGGGAGAGGGAGCAGAGCCAGGCCCCTTTACTCCGGCCTGACGGGGCAGCGGCTGGCAGGCCCTCCGGAGGAAGGGCTGTTGGGCTGCAGGCTCAGGGATGGGAACGCGGCCCCCGTGGTCTGAGCGGCATCTCTGCGGGCGCGGACGGAGCCCCGGGTAGGTGCCGCTAGGGTGGCCTCTGTTTTCCAGGCCGAGCACAGGACCATGACGGCCTTCATCCTCGCCGTGATCGTCAACAACTACAACACTGGCCAGGTGGGTGCCCGGGCCCGCCACGCCTCCCGCCGCCACGCCCAGGGTGCCACGGTGCCGTGGAGGTGGAGCCCCCCCTTCCACCAGCAGGGGCCATTGAAACGGTGGGACTTAGAAAGGGGGACATACCGAGGTTTCTGAGAAAGGGGAGGCTGGGACCCCGGGCCCATGCTGTCCCCCACCCGCCACAGGAAGCCTGCCTGCAGGGCAACCTGATCGCCATCTGCCTGGAGCAGCTCAACGACCCCCACCCGCTGCTGCGCCAGTGGGTGGCCATCTGCCTGGGCCGCATCTGGCAGAACTTCGACTCAGCCCGGTGGTGCGGGGTGCGGGACAGCGCCCAGGAGAAGCTCTGCAGCCTCCTCTCCGACCCCGTCCCCGAGGTGGGTCCCCGGGCCCGGGCACTGGTGTCCTGCCGGGCATGCGGGTGAAGGGGCGCCCCCGGGACAGCACCTCCAAAGGGGCTGCTCCGCCAGGCGGGCCTGGCGTCCCCTGAACCCCGGGCCACAAGGCCCCACCTTCCCCAGCAGGGCTGGCGGTGACCTGTGCCCCCCGCAGGTGCGCTGTGCGGCCGTCTTTGCCCTTGGCACCTTTGTGGGCAACTCTGCCGAGAGGACGGACCACTCCACCACCATCGACCACAACGTGGCCATGATGCTGGCCCAGCTCATCAGCGACGGGAGCCCCGTGGTGCGGAAGGTGCGTGCCTGCCCGAGCCGTGACCCTGTCCGCAGCCGCGAGCGCCCAGCCCGCGCCTGACCCTCCGGGGCGCGCTGCCCGGACGTGCGTGTGCCGCGTCCTCACGGCCTTACCAGGCCCGGCCCCGCCGGCTGAGGGCCCGGAGCCGGTGTCCCTGCTGCCGCCCCCGCTGCCGGCCGAGCGCAGGGCTGTCTCCGCCCTCCTCTCCCCGCCACGCGCTCCAGCCGCCGGCAGGTCGCTGCTGCTCGCGGCGCTTGACCGAGCCTCCCTCCCAGGAGCTGGTGGTGGCGCTGACGCACCTGGTGGTCCAGTACGAGAGCAACTTCTGCTCCGTGGCCCTGCAGTTCATGGAGGAGGAGAAGAACTACCCGCTACCCCCCGCCACCACGGGTACGCCCAGCCCGGCCCCCGCCGCTGCCCCCGCCACCACGGGTACGCCCGCGGCCCGGGGCCCTTGTCAGACCGTGAGCGCCCTCAGTTCTGCCAGAAGCTGGCGTAAGTGTCACATCCTCGCCACCCGGACGCCCGCTCTGAGTGGCCGGCCCCTTCCCCGGCGCTGAGCAGGACAGAGAACGGGAGGTGCTCTGACCCTCTGCCTGGCCTGCCCTCACCCTTCGGAGTGAGATTCGTGGGAATGACGAGCCGGGCTCAGCACACGGGCCCCGTGGTGACGATGCCATCGTGGTGTAGGTCCTGGCTCGGAGGCACGTTAGCGCCTCCTCTCACATCGGCCTTTTACCAAGTTTGCCTCATTGTCCCGCCCCCTCCCCCCAAACTCCGCCATCCCGCCTGCCGGAAGAGGGCTCGTGATCCCTAGCGAAGCGTCAGGGAGGGGCCCGAGGGTGCATGTGCCCCAACAGAGGGCAGCCGGGGTCCTGCCAGCGCCAACTCGCAGGGCCCCTGGTGCGGCCACGGCCTGCTCACCAAACCACCACGGTCACCTCTGCTCCCCTCGCGACTCTGGGCAGCTGCTGGCTGCCTGGGTCAGACCCTCGCTGCACGCGTGGGCGGGGTGGGGGCTTTCGCACGGCTCCCCGACGCCCTCGGTGAACGCGGTCTCCCCTCCCCCAGAGAGCGGGAGCCTGACCCCCGTGCGCGACAGCCCCTGTGCCCCCCGGCTGCGCTCGGTGAGCTCCTACGGCAACATCCGCGCCGTCACCTCCGCCCGCAGCCTGAACAAGTCCCTGCAGAACCTGAGCCTCACGGAGGAAGGTGAGAGCGGAGCCGGGGCCGGGGGGCCGGGCGCTGAGGAATCGGGTGCCACCCTTCTCTGCCATAGACGTGGCTCCGAGCCCCCTCCCCCGCCCGGTGCCCACAGCTGGGTCTCCTGGGAGGGCAGTGGCCCCACGGTGTCCATATGCCGGGAAGCGCGGGACCGACGGGGTCCGGGCCCGGACTGATCCCTCCGTGTGCCGCAGCGGGTGGCGCCGTGGCCTTCTCCCCCGGGAACCTGAGCGCCAGCAGCAGCGCCAGCAGCACGCTGGGCAGCCCCGAGAGCGAGGAGCACATCCTGTCCTTCGAGACCGTCGACAAGATGCGCAGGGTCAGCTCCTACTCGGCCCTCAACTCCCTCATAGGTGAGCCGCCCGCGCCGGCCGCCTCGCCCAGCCTGGAGCTGGTGACACAAGCCGCTTCATCGCGAGGGACCTTCCGGAACCTTCCGCCGCTCCATCAGAGCCCGGAGCAGCGGTCTCGCCGTGGCCCTGCCCCCGGACACAGCCCCTGCTCCTGACCCGTCTCCCCTCCCCCAGGCGTCTCCTTCAACAGCGTGTACACGCAGATCTGGCGCGTGCTGCTGCACCTGGCCGCTGACCCCTACCCCGACGTGTCGGACCTGGCCATGAAGGTGCTCAACAGCATCGCCTACAAGGTGCGTGCTCCTGGCCCCCAGGCTCGTCCTCGCCCAGACACAGCTTCGAACTCGACACCCACCTGAGCTTTCGTCCGGCACCGGGCGTTTCCCGCCACTGCCTACCGAATCGGCCCCGGCCCTGCCCGCTCCGTCCTGGGCCCCGCTGGCCGCCCCGTGCCTGACCTGCTCACTCCTGCCCTCCAGCTGCAGCAGAACCAAAAGCCCTTCTAGTCCCCTCTCTGCTCCCGAATGCCAGGACCAGGAGGGCAGTCCTCTCACTGGTGCAGTGCTAGACCCAGTGCGGCCCTCAGCGCCCAGCTCACAGCTTCCTCCCCTCGGCCCTGCTGCCCCCATGGCAAGGAGGCAGCCCCGGGCCCCGGTCATCTTACCTGCAAGCTGAGGCGGCTCGGAAGGCCCCAGCCCGCGCCTGGCTGTGGCCCCAGCTCGTCCCGGCTGACGGGGCACCGTCCTCTGCTCCTCAGGCCACCATGAACGCCCGGCCGCAGCGCATCCTCAGCGCGTCCTCCCTCACCCAGTCGGCGCCCGCCAGCCCCACCAACAAGGGCGTGCACATCCAGCACGCCGGGTGAGTGCGGCTCGGCACATCCTCGGGGCTGCGCTAGGTCCCAGGACGCCAGCTCGCTGGTCCCAGGGCTGCCTCCTGTCCTCGCCTCCCTCCCGCTCCGCTCCTCTGGCGCCAGCGGGCCCCCAGGACCTGCTGGGCTCCCCGCGGCCTCACAGCTGATGGGGGCGGGGGCGGGGGCGGGGGGGCCGGCGAAGCGGCTGGTGTTAGGCGTCCATGGCGGGTCTCGGTGACACCGGGTTTCTTCTCCCCAACGGCAGGGGCTCCCCACCAACGTCCAGCGCCAGCAGCTCCAGCCCCACCAACGATGTGGCCAAGCAGCCAGGCAGCCGTGAGCTGCCTGCGGGCCGGCTGGGCACCGCCGGGCCCACGGGGGCACAGTACACGCCCCACTCCCACCAGTTCCCCCGCACACGGAAGATGTTCGACAAGGGCCCCGACCAGGTGCGCCTGCGTTCACGCCCCGGGGACCGGGGCCGGTCTGAGTGCAGCCCACACCACATGGCTGAGGCCTGTGGGGCCCGATGACCAGGCGCCCAGGGGCCTACCCAACCGCTCAGGACAGGGAGAGCCAGGCCACCCCACCTGCCCCAGGGTTCCTGGGGCGCAGACCCAGGTGGCCTAATGCTGGCTCCTACAGCCCGTTTTGTCACTCGGCCCCGGCCCCACTCGGCCCCAGGCTTACGGGACGCAGCAGCCAGACCTGCCTGTCTGCTCTGAGCGGCTCGGGGCGCAGAAATGGGGGTCACAGGCTCACTTGTCTCTTCCCCTCCCCCCGCACCTGGAAGCCCGCCGACGACCCAGACGACACCGGCCACAAGAGCTTCATCTCGGCCGCGATGCAGACGGGCTTCTGCGACTGGAGCGCCCGGTACTTCGCGCAGCCCGTCATGAAGGTGCGCGGTGTGGGCGGGAAGCGCCGTCTTAGCATCTGTCGGCGCCGAGCGGGTCTGGTTCCCCGCGGGCGGGCGGGCGGGCGGCCCCGGCCGGTGCCTGGCCATGCGCGTGCGGCCCAGAGGGTGGGCCTGAGTCGGGCAGGAAGCGCCCGCAGCGCCGGCCTCGGGCAGCGGGTGTCGCTGTCACGTGCACACAGATGGCCCCGTGGCTGCCACACCTGGCAGCTACCCGGGGCCTCGGGGGCCTCGGGGCGCGGCGTTGGCGTGAGAGCTGCGGTGCGACGCTGCGTCTGCAGTTCCGGGCGGCGGACCGGGGAGCTCAGACTTGGCGGTTTCCTGTGCGTTCACTGGAGATCCGTGCTAGAGCGTGTTCTCTCGTCTTGTTTTCTCCGTCCCCTGCTTTCCCAGGGGTACGCACAGGCGTGCTGTGCTTCCGTGGGCTCAGCTAGCTGTCTGATGGCACGTGTGTGCGGTGACATGCATGGGGGACTCTTCCATTAGCCTGCGTCACGTGGGAACTAGCAATAGCTCCAGGTTGGGACCGCCCCTCAGAAATGAAGCGCACACACACACACACACACACACACACACACCCTGCCCCGCGGCCTCGGTCTGAGGACCTGCGTGCTCCCCAGCAGAGCTGTCTGCAGCTCCGTCACGTGACCCTGGTACGCACATGTGCCGAGTCCCCAACACATGGCAGAGCGGCCGTGTTTGCTGGAGCTTCTTCCCGTCTCAGGGCCTTCTCCCAGGTCGAGCAGCCGAGAAGAGCTGCGTCCGGACAGGGCCCCCCTCGATGGATGAGACACACCACCCTCCCTCCCACACACACACAGACACACACACACACACACACACACACACACGGATCTCGGAGCTCACACTCCCCTCGGCTCCCGGAGCTCACACCTGCTTCAGGAAGAGGATCAGGCACAGCCTGTCGTGTGCTTGAAAGCGGACGCATTGAACCGTGTTCTGATTGCGGAGGGCACAGGGTTTGTGCTCAGCCCCGCGTGCTGTGGGCCGTGCCCCTGGCTGTGCCAGCCTCATGCCCGGCCCCACACTGGAGCCCCCTGGGACCACACCTGTCAGAGGCATAGCGAGAGTGAAGTGCTCAAGCCAGTGTCCCTCCTAACGTGTCCCCACGTAATTAGCAGAGCGGCCGCGGCAAACAGGACACGGTCACGGGGTGACAGGCTCTGCCCCGGGAAGGCAGTGGGCCCGGCGTGCTCAGCGCTCCTGTGGTAACTGCACTAGCGGAGGGAGCGGGAGCCTCCTAGCTGCAGAGCAGGGAGGGGCAGGACCCGGCGTCCCTTCCCAATAACCGCGCTGGGCAGGGGTGGGGCTCCCCTCGCAGGGCGGCAGGGGCCACCGCGGTGGCCACGCCCTGCGGGAGCCGCGGGGCTGGTGGCGGGAGGCAGACCCATGAGGTGGCACTGGCGTGGGCACGGGCCCCAGGTGCTCGGCAGCGTGCTGCCGCAGGAAGGGAGGGTCACACAAGTCGTGCTCCCAGCGGCACCCGCTGGAACACGAAGCTTCTAGATGCAAACCCCAAAGAACGGCGTGCCAGGTCCTCTGCTGGCAAGTCCGGAACGCCGGGGAGGAACCCGCCCCGGATCAATGGAGGCCTGCCCGTGGCTGAGAGACTCAGCATGTTTTCCCAGAATCGATGTGAATCAATACGGTCTCAGTCGAAGTCCCGGGGGCTTTAGAAACCGCGGCCCAGGCTCAGGTGCGCGGGGAGCAGAGACCAGGACAGCCGGACAGGCGACGCGGGGCGTGGTGGCAGGCGACACCGGCCAGGGGGACACGCAGCCGGGCGTCGGTCTGGAGCAGCGGGCTGTCGATTCTCAACTAAGACACTGTTCCCGGGGCGGGGCGGGGGCCGGGGCCTGGGGGCCGCAGCCCCTCACGCCTGTGTGAGCCAGAGCCGTCCGCCCGGAAGGACCAGGAGAGCCGGGAAGGAAGCCGTGGTGGCGGGCGAGGCGCTGGCTCCTCAGTGAGGATGAAGGACAGGGAGCGGGGGCCTGAGAAGACGGACCCGGAGCCACGGGTAGAGACGCGGCTGCGGGGCGTGTGGACTGGCTGCTGGCCCTCCTGACTGCCACGGCCGGCTCCCGAGAAGGACCGGCCTCCGGGCCCCGCTGCCTCCGAGGGTGCCCGGGCCCTGCTCCCGCCACACTCCTCGGTGCTCCCAACCAGAGGCGGGACGGGCGGCGGGGCGGCCTCTGCGCCCAGGGCGGGCCTCGCCATCGCTGTTCACGGGGCGTGGCTCTTGCAGATCCCGGAGGAGCACGACCTGGAGAGTCAGATCCGCAAGGAGCGCGAGTGGCGGTTCCTGCGCAACAGCCGCGTGCGGAGGCAGGCGCAGCAGCTCCTCCAGCGGGGTGAGCGCCGGGCCGCCCGCCGCCAGCCGGGTGCCCGCGTGCGGCTCCTGCATGCCGTCCGGGGGGGGCGGCCGCCCGGGCCCGGGGCAGGCCCGCTGGGGCTGGGGCTGGGGCTGGGGCTGAGGCCGCCATCGTCCCTTGCGCAGGCATCACACGGCTGGACGACCAGATCTTCCTGAACAAGAACCCCGGGGTCCCCTCCGTGGTCAAGTTCCACCCCTTCACGCCCTGCGTGGCTGTTGCAGACAAGGACAGCATCTGGTGAGTGTGCGCACGGCTCCTGGGCGGGGGCGGGGGCGGGGCGGGGCTATGACGGCCGTCCTGGCGGCAGGAGGCGGCGTCCCGGCCTCATCGCTGCCCCTCTCTCCCCTGGAGCTTCTGGGACTGGGAGAAAGGGGAGAAGCTGGACTACTTCCACAACGGGAACCCCCGGTACACGCGGGTCACCGCCATGGAGTACCTCAACGGCCAGGACTGCTCGCTGCTGCTCACGGCCACAGGTGAGCACGTGCCCACGGGCCGGGCGGGCATGGCAGCAGGCATGGACCGGCGTTTCCGGAGGCACAGGAAGGCACGGTGTCAGGAGGGGGAGGCCTCCTCCAGGCAGTGGGAGCCATGACCAGGGCCGCCAGGGCCTCGGGACAGTGTCCGCCTTGGGGACCCTCTCGTCCCTGCCCTGAGAGGCGCCGGAGGCCTGTCCCCCAGCCTCCGCGAAGCCCATGGCGAGGTGGAGGGAGACAGGTCGCGACCTCTGCCTGGCGGCGACCCTCACCGCCCTCCAGCCACAGCCCACACCAGTTTGGAGTGCCGGCTCTTCGGCCTCACCCCGGAACCCGGTCTGCCCACTGAGCCACCTGGCGACATCGCCTCCCGCAGCGCTGCAGACATGGCTCTGCTGCCGGCTGAGAAGCCACTGCCCGGCCCCCGGCCCCTCCATCCCAGGCACCGGGGCCGGTCACTGACTGGGCGCTCCTTCCAGTCCCGGGCCCACGGGAGCCGCCCACGGGGACAGCCTGCCGGGGGCCAGGCCTCCGCGAGGCGACGGGCATCTCCGTGGCTCCTCCGCAGGCCAGGGAGCCCCTGCGCGCTGACCGCCTTCTCTCCTCTCCCAAGATGACGGCGCCATCAGAGTCTGGAAGAATTTTGCTGATTTGGAGAAGAATCCAGAAATGGTGACGGCGTGGCAGGGGCTCTCGGACATGCTGCCCACAAACCGAGGTCAGTGTCGAGGCCAATCCTGGAATTGTGAGCAGGCCGGCTCCCCGTCTCCACAAAGCACTTCTACCTGGGAGGGGCGGCTGTGCGGGGGAGTGTCGGGCTGACTTCTGACCTGGGGCGTCACTAGCCTGCGTGCCTGTCCTCAGCCTCGTTCCCATCTGGCAGGGGTGTTGCTGGGGAAAGAGATGCTGCTGACGGGGGGACTGCGTTCTGTGCTCTTTGCACCCAAATTAGCCCCCTTTGTGGGGTGGGGTGAGTGCACAGGGATCGCTGGTGTGTGCTTATGTTGGGCTGGAGCCATGTGCTCGCCTGGCCCCTGTGCTGGCCTGGCCTCCCGTGCTGAGGGTGCGCTGGCCTGGCCTGGCCCCTGTGCTGAGGCTGCGCTGGCCGTGACCCTGCAGGCACAGCTCTGCACGCTGCCTGTCAGGTGGGGGGTCTGGCCGCGTGCGCAGTGGGTGACCGGCCCCAGCCCGCTGTCCTCCAGGAGCCAGGTCAGGGGTCACAAGGATCTCGAGCCTCAGCTCACGGCTCGCTGTGCCCACAGCAGTGACGGCTCAGGGTGGGGCAGGCTGTCAGAGCTGGTTCGGGGGCCTCGTCTCCCTCCCTTGCCTGGGGCTGCGGCCAGAGGCTTCTCTGCCCCTGCCCTGTCTGAGCCTTAAGGCGACTCCGGGGGCGGGGGGGGGGGGTACTGCTGCCAGCGGGCAGCTCCGGGCAGCAGCATGGCGCGGGTTCAGAACGAAGCCACACTTTTCAGAAACTAATGTCAGCCGGCACCCCACCCAGCACACAGCGTTCCCTTCGCCTGGGCCTGCCGGCCTGGCAGGAGCTGGCGGTGCCAGGCAGCTCGCGGGCCCTGTCTCAGCCTCACCTTGTTTCTAAGACCACCCAGCGCCGTCTCCGAGGCCCCGCCGCCCCCTCTGCCTCCTGGCACAGCCGCCAGGCAGCTCCTGCCACTTTGGTCACTGACCACCACACCCCAAAATGTCCCCACGTCTCCCCACTGGACCCCCTCCCCCGGCCACCACCTGCACGTGGGCATTTCCAAGCCCCGGCACACGGACAGGGGTCCTGTCTCTCGGTGGCACCTCCGACTCCCATCCAGACACAGGCCGTTTGGAGGCAAAGCCCCGCCGACGCAGTGGGTGCTTGTCAGGTGAACCCGAGGCGGTCGCTCCCCCTGCACCCCCGCCTGCCCACCCGCTGCCGGTGCCCAGCCGTCCTCAGTCTGCTTGGGCCAGTGCGCCCGGCCACTCGCCTCCCGTCAGACCACGTCCCTGTCTCCTCGCAGGTCTGGCCCGAAAGGTCTCCATCTATCTTGACCACAGTAAGCAGGGAGGTGAGTGCCCTCTGCCCCCAGGCCGCCCAGGGCCGCGGGCGCTGCCCTCTCCTGCTGGCGCCGTCCCTCAGGGCAGCAGAGTCAGGGCTGGGCTCTCCCCACCACCACCACCACCACCACCACACAGATCCGTCCAATCCAAGGACGCCAGCCAGCGAGCGCTGTCTGGGTGCGTCGGAGCGCGGAGCCCTGACCGCCCCCCGCCGCAGAGGGAGCCTCGCGAGGGCCGCCCTCGGGCGCCTCCTCCCTCCATGGGTGGCCCTCCAGCCGGCCGCTCCGAATCTCACCCCCCACTCTGAGCCCCTGGAGGGTCCCCATTCTCTGTCCTCCAAGCCCGCCCAGTGGCCCAGGAATGGGAAGAGCAGGGCGCCATCTGCTGGCGAGGGGCCGGCCGCCTCCCGTCCCTCAGGCCCAGGCCAGGGCGATGCTCCAGAGCCAGAGCGAGGCTGTTTCCCACCCAAACCTCGGACAGCGGAGGCTCCTTGGGCAGGCCTCGGCAGCGTCTGTTTCCGTCGGAGACGCGCAGGGCGGCTTGCTGAGCGCCAGGTGCAGCAGCAGCGGGGCTGAGGACAGAGGATAGTCTGAGGCGGGGGCGGTGCTGACTCGGTGGAAGCCACATTCAACAGGGTCCCGAGGAGGAGACAGGCAAGGGGCGCTGTGGGCCTGGGTGGGGACAGCGACACCCACAGGTGGCGCTGCTGTCGGCAGGCCCATTGGGACACTGGCTCTCGTGGTGTCTGTGCCATGCCGCCCTGTCTGTTACGGCTGCTGGGTCTCACCACGCCGGTGACGGTAAAGGGGGAGCCTCCCTGGGCCAGGTGCCGCGTCGGCTTTTCCCGGTGCATCTGTACTGGCTCTTAGAGAAAGGAGCGGCCTGGCTGCCCGCGTGTGCCCGGCCAGGGAGTGGGCAGTGACCTCTTGGTGCACAGGCGATGCTCCCACCAACGGAACCCCCCCCCCCCAGTGACACTGACCCCTGCCTGGGGCCAGAGCCTGACAGCCTCCCAGCGACTGTCCTTGGCTGTCTAGTGGCTCATTCTCCACGGGCAGGCAGCACAGCGGGGGGGGGGGGGGGGGGCAGGGTCCGGCAGCTCAGCGGGGCGGGCAGGGATGGCGGAGTCCGGACGGGCCGGCAGGGTTACGGGCGGGGTTCAGCAGGGTCCGCGCGGGGCCGGCGGGGTTCGCTCAGAGGAGGACAGGGCCCCGTCAGGGAGACACTGCCCACCGCGTCTGGGAGCAGGACACAGGCTGGGTCTCGGCAGGAGGCCAGCGGCTGCGCGCCGTCTGGGAGCAGGACCGCCGCCTGCAGCCTGGAGGGGGCGCGGCAGGACCTCCTAGGCGGCTGTGTCTGAGGGGCTCTCCACGGGCGGGGCCGGGCTCAGCGACACCGGAGGTGGCACTGGGCGGTGCCCGCCGGAGGGAGGTTCGTCCCAGGGCGGAGCAGCCACGGGAGGCTTCCCTGCGTCTAAAACATCACTTCTACAGAAAAGCAAAACGTTAGCGCCCACCCGTGAGACCTGGCGGCGGGCACAGGATTTCTCCGTTCTCTCTGCACTTAAACGTTCAGACTAAATCTTACCCTGCCCCAGGGTGGCCACGTGGTCAGTGTCAGCCAGGGCCGCAGGGTCGAGGGTCCATCCCAGCCAAGGGCACGTACCTGGTTGTAGGTTCGATCCCAGCCCTCTCCGGGCGCTGCTGGAGGCACCTGGTCTGTCCTCCATCTGTCTCTGTCAGTCAGTGGGGAACATCCCCTGGTGACGACTGACGACGGCACATTAAACCCGGTCCTGTCCCAGTGCTGCAGCCGCTCGCCGCTGTCCCTCCCGCGTGGGAAGGGCGCTCCGGCCTCGGTGGGCACTGCAGCCGAGCTCTGCAGTCTGGGTCCTGTGCCGGGCGGCGTGCCCGGGGCGGGCTCCCAGGTGAGCATGCGTCTCCCCAGGTGCCGGCATGGTGGTGGACTGGGAGCAGGAGACCGGCCTCCTCATGAGCTCGGGGGACGTGCGGATCGTCCGCATCTGGGACACGGACCGGGAGATGAAAGTGCAGGTACCGCCGGCACTGAGCCGGGACCTCAGGGACAGGGCGGGCGTCAGACCGCGGCGTCCAGACCGGGCGTCCGGACCGGGTCACGAGGCGGCGCCCTGCCCTGCGTGACAGCGGGCTGACCCACCCCTCCCAGACGCCGAGGACTGCGCAGGCCAGGCGACCAGAGCAGGGACCAGCCGGCTGGTCCTGTGCTTCCTGTGGTGCCTCTGGCTTCCCTCTAACAGGAGCACAGGGGATTGCTCCCTCTGGCCCGGGCCCCACCCCCACCCCGGGCTGAGGCCCCGCCCTCCCTGGGCCTCGCTTCCTCTGCTCTTCCTGCCCTCACAGCCGACAGGCGGTGTGGGCTGGAGCTCCCGGGCCCTCCCTGGCAGCAGGCGTCCAGAGGAGCTGCGGGCTCCATGCCCCAAGGGCTCTCTTCTTTCCAGGAGAGAGGGAGCCGGGGAGTTTGTCTCAGAGAGCAGTCGTTACAGCCTGTTTGCCCGCTGCACCGGGGACCAGGTCTCGGCATGGCTCCCGGCTGGGCCTGGTGCGGCCCGGCCTGCCATTCGGGCCCAGTGGCCTGACTCCATCCCTAGCGGCGCAGGTGCCCGGGCTCCGCGGCCCCTCGGTCCCTGGCCGGGGGCTCAGGTCTCTGCTCGCCCTAGGACATCCCCACGGGCGCCGACAGCTGCGTGACCAGCCTGTCCTGCGACTCCCAGCGGTCCCTCATCGTGGCCGGCCTTGGGGACGGCTCCGTCCGCGTCTACGACCGGAGGATGGCCCTCAGCGAATGGTAATGCGGCTGCGCCCGCCCACCCAGGGCCTGGGCCCATGGTCACAACTCTGCCAGGCTGCAGGGCCCAGAGGAGGGAGCCCAGAGGCGCCGGGCACTCCACAGAGGCCTCACGCCTGGGAGCGTGGGCGGGCCACGGGAAGGTGGGGCGTGTCCAGCCAGGCGCTGCCTCCCGAGCGCAGGTCCCCGGGAGGCTGCTGCCCACCCCTCTGGGTCACACATGAGCAGCCGTGGCGTCGGGACCATGTGCCTGGGCGCAGTGGGGCAGGCAGGCAGGTGAGGGCACCTGTGTGGGTGCTGAGGAGCTGCTGTCCGCTGTCCGCCACCGTCCCGAGGCCGGGGCTGGTAGGTGACAGCTGGCAGGTTCCGCGTCCCCCACTTGCCCGCCCGGGCTCTGACCCGTGCCCGCTCTGCCCGCAGCCGCGTCATGACCTTCCGGGAGCACACGGCCTGGGTGGTGAAGGCCTGCCTGCAGAAGCGCCCTGAGGGCCACATCGTGAGCGTCAGGTGCGGCTGGGCGGCTGCGAGGCAGCGTTCCCGCTGGGAAACGTCCACCGACCAAGGGGCCCTCCGGGGCGGGGCTGCTCGGTCTGCCACTGGAGCTTCAGGCAGCCAGAGCCTGCGGGGAGGGGTGGAGGCGTGCCCCTCAGTGGGCACAGGGCCTCCGCTGGCGCCTGGCTGTGGGGTTCCTGCTGAGCCACAGCCGTGCACCCATTACACCAGCTTCGGCCGCCGGTGCCACCCGTGCCTGTGCCACAAATATTCCTTTGCCCTTAAAGGGACGGCAGGTGTCATTTACTGTCACGGCCACCACTGTCTCCTGTGTATTCAACACGGAGCGCGGGGGAGAGCAGCCTCCCAGTGTCCCTGCAGCCCAGTCCCTCCTCGGGGACAGGGAACGGAGCTCCCAGCTCGGCCCTGCGGCGGCCTCGCTGGGCTGGCGGGCACCCTCCCTCACCGCGCCCCCCTCCCACAGCGTGAACGGGGACGTGCGCTTCTTTGACCCGCGGATGCCGGAGTCCGTGAGCGTGCTGCAGATCGTCAAGGGGCTCACGGCCCTCGACATCCACCCCCAGGCCAACCTCATCGCCTGGTAGGTGCCCAGACCCTGCTGCTCGCGGCTGGACCCCGTCACCCCCGCCCCCCCAGCAGGCGCTGACGGCCCTCTCTGCCCGCAGCGGCTCCGTGAACCAGTTCACCGCCGTCTACAGCGGGACCGGCGAGCTCATCAACAGCATCAAGTACTATGACGGCTTCATGGGCCAGCGCGTCGGCGCCATCAGCTGCTTGGCCTTCCACCCGCACTGGGTCTGTCCCCATGCCCGGCGGGCGGGGCGGGGCGGGGCGGGCACCAGGCACGCCCCATCTTCCTGGGCCCCACCACCCTCCCCCTGAGGCAGCACCCTGTCCTCGGGGAAGGCCCAGCTACAGTAACGTGAGCCACCCGCCCTCTGTCACCCCTGGAGGGATCCCCCCACATGCATGCACACACATACACATGCACGGCATTGAGGCCCCAAGAGGCTCAGGGACCAGGCCCCTGTGGGTTCCAGCTGGGCGGGGGTGGGGGGGATGACACACAACGTCCTGCTGGAGGCCACAGCCCGGCCTGTCAGCTCTGCACCTGCGCTCCGGGCCCGCTCCCCGCTCACCACTCCCCGCCCCTCCCCTCGCAGCCTCACCTGGCCGTGGGCAGCAACGACTACTACATGTCCGTGTACTCCGTGGAGAAGCGTGTGAGATAGCGGTGCCCACAGCCAGCCACGTGCACAGAGGGGCCGTTGCCCGGGACCGGTCCTGGCCTGCTGCCGAGGCTCCGGCTGCGCTGCCTGCTGTCTGTCCTCGCTGCCGTGCTGTGGCCCACGGAGTCCCTCCCGCGTGTGACGGCGTGACGGCATGGTCCCTTCCCTGCGAGACGGCCGGAGCCGAGGGCGCCTCGCTGCTCCTCCCGGCCGCCCCTCCCGTTTCCTTCCGAGAGTTCGAAGCGGAAACTCTCGTTTTATTTCCGCGGACGCAGCCTGCGCTCCACGAGCTCCGGGCTGGCCGGCTTCTCCTGGCGCAGCCACTGGTCCCTGGGCCGCCCTGCCCGCCACACGCCAGCAGGGGGTGCCCAGAGCCGGCTCCGAGGGCTGGGGTTCGAGACCAGCACCGAGGAGACCGAGGAGCTGGGACCCAGGCCTCCCGCCAACCCATCGGGCTCAATCCACCCCCACAACGCAGCCACCCCCCGGCACAGGTGTGGCCTTGGGTTCGAGCTTCGCCGGTTACCAAGGTCCCTTAGGGAAGGGCCTGTGGCCTTGGGCAGGAGGCAGGTCTTGGGTGACTCAGCCACTGCCTGCGGCCACGGGCCTGTTTCCCTGGAGGGCGGCACCCAGGTCCACCATCTTCCCGCCTGCTCGCACACGTCACATACGTGCACGCGGGAGGCACGGCTGGAGGCCTGAAGTGTCTGCGGTCCCTGTCCCCACGCTGCAGCCATAATGCACAGGCGCTCCTCGCTGCCCACTATCGCGTCTGTGTGTGCGAGTGCACGGGCCTGTGTGCACACGTGTGTACAAATGCACAGCCATGTGCAGATGTGCGTGTGCACAGGCCTGTGCAGACATGCGTGTGAGCGCACGGCAGGGGAGTGTGGCTGCGGCTGGCGGAGGGCCCGGAGGTGTGCTGAGGAGCACTGGGAACTCGGAACCACCTCAATGATGATGTCGGAATCGCACTGGGAATCAGGGTTCACAGAGGAGTGGGGTGCTTCATTCGTTCTGCCAGCGAAAGGCCAATAACCGTGTGAATGTGCGTGAGCGCCCGCCCGCGCACGCCGAGGTCTCTGGCTGCAGGCCCGGCGCGGCCTCTGCCCAGGGTGGGCGTCCTCAGCTGGGAGAGCCGGCGCAGCCTGATGTGCTGGGCCGGGGCTGGGGGGCTGCCCGCGGCCCTGCTGCTCCCACCAGTGATGGCTCTGGGACAGAGTTCCACCCCCACGCTGTGTCCGTGGGGTGCTCCAGTGCTGACCCCAACATCCCCAAGGGCGTGTCTGGCTGGTGGAGCAGGTCCCCGCCAGGTTCCGCTCGTGTGCGGTTCTGATTGTTTTGAGATAAAACCATGAGCTGCCCCACGCGAGGCTGTCCTAGCAGATCTGACTCGAAAACTCAATCATGAGGTCCACAGGCACCGGAGCCTGCCCTAAAGGTTCACTATTTATTTTATCAATAAATCAAAGACGGATGAGACAGGATTGCCATCGGCCGGAGCTCGGTGACAGACAATAAACGTGATGAAATCGTGTGGGACAGCAGCTCGTCCTTGGGGCCACGTGGGCGTGAGCAGTTTCGGGGGGCGGGGGTGGGACCTGAAGATGGGTCGCCAGCCTGCAGGGTCGCCTCGTGACGGGAAATGGGGGATCTGAGCAGCCCCCAGAAAGTAGCTGTGCCCACTGGGAAGCCTGGTTGGTGCTGCTGAGGCAAGGGGTCCTTGAGGCGGGCAGGAGCTGTACGGCTGAGGGCGGTGGGGGCCAGAGGGGCCAGGCGAGCTAGTGCCAGGGCACTCGGCGGAGGCGGGACTGGACCACACACAGCCCTGTGCTCCCCCAATCCCCGGCCTGTGCTGGCCAGCACCTCCGGGTCGTCTGGAGGCCCAGGGCTGGCCCCCCGGCCCGGGAGCTCCTTCCGGCAGCTCAGGCAGCTCAGAGAGAGTGGGCTGTCCCCCGTCTGCCTCTCGGCAGCAGTGACAGCCCCTCATCCCTGGCACTCAGCCTCCCGAGGCCGCTGTGGTGACACCAGGCCTCCAGGCCGCCCCACACGGCCGGGGGTGGCCCAGCACAGCGGCCGCTGGATGGACGGCGCCATCCTGGGCTTAGATGTCCTCCAGGCAGAGCCCAGCCACCCAGGGCCTCAGCCAGGAGCCGCCTGACCCCGGGGAGGGGCGTTGGTTAGGCCCTGCCCCCGAGCTGCCTCTGGAGGGAGCGGCTGCACCTCGGGCCTGGCCTCACGGTCAGGATGGGCCGCGGAGAATCTCGGTGCCTGTCCAGCTGGGGGAGGGTCCCAGGCTGGTTAGCCAGGTGGCAGCTGACCCTGGGGCCATTCTGAGCGCTGCATTTGGGGTGGGTGGCTACCGCCCCTCCGCGTCTGCCATCAGGTCCTGCAGCGCCACCGCGTGGCCACTGTGGGGGCCGCCACAGCCCGTGGCGTCCAGCGCGAGGCTTCCAGGGAGCGGACGCCCCCCCACCTCTGCTGCCACCAGCCCCGCCAGCTGGGCTCTCTGGTCCCTACAGACGTCTCGGCGCTTGGCCTCTGCCGCCGGGCGTCCCGGCGGTACAACTTTGGGGCTGAAAGTGTGTGTCCGATTCATGTGAACGCCCACCCACCCACCCACCGCCACCCCCGCACCTCGGGGTGACCGTGTTTGGAGAGGTCTTCCGGGAGGTCCAGTAGGAATGAGTTGCCCGCCTGGCTGTGTCCTTAGGAGAAGGGCCACGTGGAGACGTAGTCTGAGGGGCGGTGCCTCCCCAGCCCAGGTTCGCAGAGGCCCCTGCAAACCAGTCCCCGGGAGAGGGCCCTGGGCCAGCCCCAGCCACACCCACACCTCACCGAGAACGCCGCACCAGGCCTGGTGAGGGCCTTCACGTCGCCCTCCCGTCCCCCCAAGTGCCTGGACCAGTGTGTCACCTGCTGAGGAAGGGGCCGGGCGGGCAGGGGTGCCGGGCAGCCTCCCGCGCTGTGGCGTCCTCGGCTGGGCAGGTCCCCCTGAGTGGCCAGCGGCGCGGTCCGGCCGGTCCGGTCCGCACAGGTGGGGCCGCACCTGCAAACTCCCGGCCCGGCGGGTCTGCGCCGCTCCGCGCGGGCGGCAGGGGGCGCTGTCCGCTGCGCTGCGCTGCGCTGGCCCCGCGCGGCCGCCGTCGGGGGCGGAGCCGGGTCGCGTCCGCGGGGCGACGGCGCGACCGAGCCAAGGGCTCGGCGGCGGCGGGCGGGGGCGCGGCCGGCGCGATGGGCAACCTGTTCGGCCGCAAGAAGCAGAGCCGCGTCACGGAGCAGGACAAGGCCGTCCTGGTGGGCCGGGCCGGGCCGGGCGGCGGGAGGCCTGGGGGCGGGCGGCCGGGTCCCGGGGTCCGCGCTGGCGGGCGGCTCCCCTCGCGGCGCCGGCGGGAGGGGCCGCCGGGAGCCTTGTCTGCGCCCGGGACCAGCGCGAGGCGCCCGAGGCCGCGGGTCCGGGACGGCGCGCCCCGCGGGCCTCGCTCCGCCGTCCCCCGGCGCCGGGACCGGCGGGGCCTGGGATCTGCTTCCGGCCTCCGTTGCCATGGGGACGGCGAAGCGCTGCGGCTTCCGGGGCGCCGGGGGCGGTGTCTCCCGGGGGGAGGCCTGCGCGGCGGCCCGGAGCGGCTCTGCTCCCGGGGCTTCCGGCGGCCGCGGTGCGTCCGGAGCGGCGGCGCCGGCGGAGGCCGGGGCTGAGGACAGCGGGGCCCCGGGCCCGGGGTCTGCACCTCGTCGCCGGGCGTTGCCGGGTGACAGGCAGCGAGGCGCCCGCTGAGCCCCCTCACGGCGCCCGCTCCGGCGGCCCTGCCGGCGGGTGCGACGCCCGCGTCCGCGGTGCCAGGCGCCCGGCCGCGGCCTGGGTGGGAGGCGGAGGCCTGGCCCGGGGAGGGCGCTGCAGGGGGCGGGACCCAGCCTCCTTCCGGCTGCGCAGGGGCCCTCGGAGCTCGGCGCGGTCACTGTGGCCCGCTCGGCCGCTCAGCGGCCGGAGCCTCAGCCCACGGGCCGCTGTGGGGCGGGGACCCAGCCTTCGCGCCCCGCCCAGAGCCCCGCGCTCCCCGCCGCCGGCATTGGGTGCAGAGGGCGCGCTCGGGCGGCGCGGGGAGCCGCGGCCGCTGTTCACCAGACCCGCTCCCGCAGCAACTGAAGCAGCAGCGCGACCGGCTGCGGCAGTGCCAGCGGAGGGTGGCCCAGCAGCTGGAGCGCGAGCGGGAGGTGGCCCGGCAGCTGCTGCGGGAGGGCCGCAAGGAGTGAGTGCGGGGGCCCCGGGCGCTGGGTCCGGCCGCTCCTCGGGGGGCGGGGGGGGGGCCCCGGGGCGCTGGGTCACGGCCGCTCCTCGGCAGGCGCGCCAAGCTGCTGCTCAAGAAGAAGCGGTACCGGGAGCAGCTGCTGGACAGGACGGAAAGCCAGATCGCCAGCCTGGAGACCATGGTGGGCCGGGCCGGGGCCGCGGGCACCCCTTTGGGCGGACAGGCGCCTTCCCTTTCCCCGAGGCTCAGCCGCTGGGAGTCAGGCCCGCCTGGAAGGAGCCTGATGGCGTGAGGGCGGGTGGGGGCTGGGCTCTCACGGGGCAGAGGTGGGTCTGGGGGGCCGGGGGGCTCAGGGGAGGCCGGGGCTGGCGGCGGCCCTGGCGGTAACGCTGAGCATCGGGCTCCGTCTGCTGCCGGAGCTGCTGGAGAGCGGGCGGCCCCCCAGCCGCTGCAGCCCCGGAGCTGCGGGCAGGGAGGGGTGCCTCCTGGCTCACCGGGCCTGGGCGGTCCTTCAGGTCCAGAGCATCGAGTTCACGCAGATCGAGATGAAGGTGGTCGAGGGGCTGAAGTTCGGGAACGAGTGTCTGAATAAGATGCACCAGGTGGGTCCCGCCCGAGCGGAGGTCAGCGGGGCCTTTCCGCGCCGCGGCCGCGCCTGCGCCGGGCCAGCCACGGGCGCTGTGCCGCGGGAGGGGCCTGGCGGGCAGCAGACTCGGTGTCCACCCGCGGGCGCACACGCTGGGCCCGGGCCGGGTGCGCGTGGGACCAGAGGGAGAGTCAGGGGTGAGCTGGCAGGAGGGCTTCCTGCCCGTCCTGGGGGGGAGCCAGGCTATGCTGCTCTTGGTTTTTTTAAATATATCTTCACTGATGTCAGAGGCGGGGAGAGGGAGAGAGACATCCATGATGAGAGAGAACCGTGGACCGCACGCCCCACACTGGGGATCAAGCCCACATCCCAGGCCTGTGCCCTGGCCAGAATCAAACCCGGGACTCTTCAGTCCACAGGCCGACGCTCTATCCACTGAGCCACCCGGCCAGGGCTGGTGCTTCTCTGAGGCAGGTGTGGCCGTGTGCCGCCAGCCGGGCCGCCAGCGGGGGGAGGGGGTCTGTGGGAGCCGGGTCAGGGAGAAGGGCCGGCGGCCGGCGCAGGTGGATTCTGGGAGGGCGTTGTCCATTTGAACAGGAACAGGGGGGGACGAGAGGGGGGGCTCCTAGGGGCTCAGGGACCCTCCGCCGCCCTCCAGGTGATGTCCATCGAGGAGGTGGAGCGGGTGCTGGACGAGACGCAGGAGGCCGTGGAGTACCAGCGGGTAGGTGTTCGGGTCCCGGCCGCCTCCGCTCCCCCAGCCCGAGGACAGCTGCAACCTCGGTGACTGTCCGAGGGCCACCTGGGTCCCGCCGCCCTGCCCCTGGTGGCCCCTCTTCCGGGTGAGGGTCTGAGTCAGGGCTGCCCCCCAGCCAGCCCCTCCTCCACTCCACCTCCTCGTCCCTCCTCCTCCTGTCCTCCTCCTCCTCCTCCATGTCTTCTTCCTCCTCCTCCTCCTGTCCTCCTCCTCCTCCTCCTCCATGTCTTCTTCCTCCTCCTCCTCCTCCTCCTCCCCCCCTCCTCCACCGTGTCCCTCCTCCTCCTCCTTCCCCTCCCCTCCCCCTCCTCCCCTCTTCCTCCACCTCCTCCCCCTCCTCCTTTTCCTCTTCCTTCCCTCCTCCTCCACCCTCCTCCACCGTGTCCCTCCTCCTTCTCCTCCCCCTCCCCTCCCCCTCCCTCCTCACTTCCTCCACCTCCTCCTCCTCCCCCTCCCCTCCTCCTCTCCTCTTCCTCCTCCTTTTCCTCTTCCTCCACCTCCTCCTCCTCCCCCTTCTCCACCGTGTCCCTCCTCCTGCAGCAAATCGACGAGCTGCTGGCCGGGAGCTTCACGCAGGAGGACGAGGCTGCCATCCTGGAGGAGCTGGACGCCATCACGCAGGTAAGGGCGTCGGCGCGGGCGGGCCTCGCTCCGAGGCGGGGGTCGGGCCGGTCTCAGCGCCTCGTCTCCTCTCCGCAGGAGCAGATGGAGCTCCCAGAGGCGCCCTCGGAGCCGCTCCCGGAGAAGCCAGGTACCTGCACCCGGCCGCCCGCGGCCTCACCCGGCCCCCGCGGGACGGAGAGCTGAGCCGTGGGAGAGGCCGGCTCAGCGGAGCAGCCCGGGCCTCCGCCCCTGCCCCTCCGCCGGCGCCCGCCCCGGCCCCTCCGCCCCTGCCCCCCCCCGCCCCGGCCCCTCCGCCCCTGCCCCCCCCGCCCTTGCCCCCCCGCCCCTGACCCTCCGCCCCTGCCCCCCCGCCCCTGCCTCCCCCCGCCCCGGCCCCTCCGCCCCTGCCCCCCCCGCCCCTGCCCCTCCGCCCCTGCCCCTCCGCCGGCGCCCGCCCCTGCCCCTCCGCCTCCGCCCCTGCCCCCCCGCCCCTGCCCCTCCGCCCCTGTCCCTCCGCCCCTGCCCCTGCCCCTCCGCCCCTGCCCCTCCGCCGGCGCCCGCCCCTGCCCCTCCGCCTCCGCCCCTGCCCCCCCGCCCCTGCCCCCCCGCCCCTGCCCCTCCGCCGGCGGCGCCGCTCCTCCGCAGTCGCAGTCCCATCTGGGAGCCGCGCGGCTCGGCAGGAGCTCCCGCCCGGCCCCGGCCCCTCCCCGTGACCGACGTCCGTTTCCTCCGCAGAGAAAGCGGCCGCCAGGGCCCGGCCCCGGCAGGCGGAGCTGGTGGCCGCCTCCTAAAGCCTCCGGGGCCGCGGGGACCGGGACGGCCTCGCCGTCCGGAGCCTCCACGCCCCCTCCGGCAGAGCTGCCGCTGGGCTGGTTTCCGGACTAAGAGACATCAGCCAGACCTCCCGGCAAACGGGCTCTGCAGCCGCGGCTCCAGGGCCGAGCCCGCCAACCGCCTGGTGCTGCCGCTCGCCCGGCCCTGCCGCACTTCCTGCGCCGGGCCCTGGGGGCTTCGGCGAGGAGCAGGCACCGGGCCGGGGAGCACGCTCTGGTCTGCGCTTGGGGGAAGGCCGGGCGTCCCTGCTGGGCCGATGGCTCCCGGAGCCCTGCCTCCCCGCGTCACTCCGGCCGCTGAGGACAGGACAGCAGGGCAGCGGACAGCCTGCCGGGGCACCCGGTGCAGCCGGATGTGTGCCCGTGGACCCTCCGGGGCGGGCCTGCCGAGACCCAGGCTGCCCGCCCTCCCCTCGGCTGCCGGGCTCACGTTCACGGGGCGCGACGGCCTCGCTGGGTCTCAGCGCCCCCCACGCGGCCCCATTAAAGCTGGTCCTGCACACCCACGCCTCGTGACCCACCGCCCGGGCCCAGCCCCTCGCGGCCTCACTGGGCGCCGCAGCGGGGCTGGCACCGGGCAGAGGGCAGCTGGGCTCCGCTCCCTCGGGGGCGGGCAGCCTCTCACCCGAGAGGCGCTGGTGGCTCCGGCCGGTGGCCGGCTCAGAGGGTCCTGGCGAGGCTGTCAGTCCTGTGAGCGGCCAGGACGCCGAGCCCCCTGGGGGGGGGGCACCCACCGCGGGCCCCGAGTGGACGCCAGGCTGGGCCTGCAGAGGAGCTGGACCCCTGGCCGCTCAGGTGCTTGTGTGAAGGGACTGCAGGCGCAGTGCACGCCTCGGCCAGCAGGGGGCTCTGCCGGCGGGTTTGCAGGAACAGCATCGCCAGTGCCGGCTGGGCCTCCTGCTGGTGATGGTGGCAGCGGCCAGCGTCCCCGAGACCCGGAGGGCGTCCCCACCTAAACGGGGGCAGCCCCGGCCTGTCCCTCTGCAGCTGGTCCTGGGCCGGGAGGCCGGGAGGGGTGGCTGGCCGCCTCCCTGACCCCCCAGCAGAGTGCACCCCACCCCGGCCCTCTGCTCGCAGGCCCTGGAGCCGGCTGTCCTCGGGCCCGTCCTGAGCAGAGCTGCCCGAGGCCGCAGCTCCTGTGAAAGGGATGGGGGGCGCGTGTGGAGTGCTCGCTGCCCCCATCAGCCCCCGCTTCTGTCACCCCCACCACGTCCCTGTGTGTCCGCGGTGCCCTCCGTGCCGTCCTGCCCCTCCCGCCTCCCCTGCCCGCCGGCTCGGAGCCCATCCCGGTGTCTGGGTCCGAGTCGCGTTCAGCCTGAGCTCCGCTCAGTGCAGAGGCTCCATGCACACGTGTGTGCACGGGTCGTGGGTCCCGTGTTTCAAGGGCGGTCCAGGGGGAGCCCTGCTCCCCCACTGAGAGGCTGCCAGACCCCCAATGTCCCCAGGGCTGAGCCCGCGGCCCAGGCCTCGGTGTGCGGGGAGCAGACCGCTCACGCAGCTCAGCGAGCGTGCAGCGCCCCCCACAGGGGCCTCTGGTGTTACCAAGATGGCAGCTGGCTGCCCCTGTCCGCCCGGCAGCTGCGACTTCAAGCTCAACACTGAGGCCCTCGCTTCCTGGGGGACGTGCAGGATGGGGAGGGGTTCCGCTCCCCGCTGTCTGCCTCGCCCCTCAGGAGCCCACACCCAGTCCCTGGGACCCTGCACCCCCTGCCCCAGGGCTGCTGGGGGCTCACGGCTCCCCACAGGCCTGGCCCTGGGGTTCCCCCCTGCACACCCCAGGATGTCCCCAGCCTAGCCTCACCAGCCCTTCTAGCACCTTCTGGGGGCTAGGAAGGGGTGAGGCACGTGTGTCCTGAACCTCGCCCCCCCCCCCCCCCCCCCAGTGCGTGGAGCACGTGGACGCAAGTCCCAGCAGAGCCGACAGAGGACACCTTGCCGGTGGGCACTGCCCCGTCTTGCCTCCAGGGGGCACACCTGGACCTGGAGGGGCCCCTGCGTTAGACCCACCTTCCACGTGTGGCAGGGGCACAGGGACTGGGCCCCGTGGCGCTGCCCCGGAGGGCGGGCGCCGACCCGGACCCGGGACCTTGGGGAGCTCGGACCTGCAGGAGGAGGGAGCCCTCGGGCTGGAGCGACGCGGAGATCGGAGGCCACTTTAAATAAACGGGACGGAGACGGCGCCTCCGTCTGAATCAGCAGCGCCGCCGCGCCATCTGTGCCGGGGGCGCGGCGGCGTCTGGGCCAGGCTGGGGCGGGCGCGTCTGTGGGCCCGCGGGTCCTGCCGCGAGGACCCCACGGCGGGCGGCCCGGTGGCACCAGGCCGGCGTGCAGGGGCGTCTGTCCCCCAGGTTCCAGGGAACAGCTTTCCTTTTGGCTCCAAAACTCAGGCCCATGGAGGGCGGCAGGAGCCGTGAGGAGCCCAAAGGAGCCCGGGGGCCGTGGCAGGGGCAGGAGACGCGAGTCTGGCCTGTGAGCGGGCACTGGCCTCGGGGGGCGGGCACGCTGGGCTGGGCACAGCTCGCCACCGGACCTGGCCTTGGGCACGCTCGCCCCCGGCTCCTGGCCTCCAGTCCTGGGCGCCCTCCCTGGAGAACCCCAAAGCTGGTGCCCGGTTCCTCGCTACCTCCAGCTCCCGCCCCCCACGCCACCCCCCAAGTTTGGCCGTGGCCCTGAGCCTGGCCCAGACCCCAGCCTGCCCTCCAGCCCCTCAGCCCACGGCCCGGCCCAGCTGCAGCCCGAGGCGGAGGCCCAGGGCGCTGGCACCTGCGGGATGTAAATCTGCTGTCGGGGCCTCTCACCGCAGGTGACGTGAGAAGTAGCCGGGGGAACAGCCAGGCTCGAGGCTGGTTCACCCCCGGCTCCCCCACGCCGCCTCCCAGCCGCCCCCGCTCCCCCCACACCGCCCCCCCGCTCCCCCGACGCCGCCCCCCGGCCGCCCCCGCTCCCCCCACACCGCCCCCCCGCTCCCCCCACACCGCCCCCACGCTCCCCCCACACCGCCCCCCCGCTCCCCCCACGCCGCCCCCCGGCCGCCCCCGCTCCCCCCACACCGCTCCCCGGCCGCCCCCGCTCCCCCCACACCGCCCCCCGGCCGCCCCCGCTCCCCCCACACCGCCCCCCCGCTCCCCCCACACCGCCCCCCGGCCGCCCCCGCTCCCCCCACACCGCTCCCGGCCGCCCCCGCTCCCCCCACACCGCCTCCCGGCCGCCCCCGCTCCCCCCACACCGCCCCCCCGCTCCCCCCACACCGCCCCCCGGCCGCCCCCGCTCCCCCCACACCGCTCCCCAGCCGCCCCCGCTCCCCCCACACCGCCCCCCCGCTCCCCCCACACCGCCCCCACGCTCCCCCCACACCGCCCCCCCGCTCCCCCCACGCCGCCCCCCGGCCGCCCCCGCTCCCCCCACACCGCTCCCCGGCCGCCCCCGCTCCCCCCACACCGCCCCCCGGCCGCCCCCGCTCCCCCCACACCGCCCCCCCGCTCCCCCCACACCGCCCCCCGGCCGCCCCCGCTCCCCCCACACCGCTCCCGGCCGCCCCCGCTCCCCCCACACCGCCTCCCGGCCGCCCCCGCTCCCCCCACACCGCCCCCCCGCTCCCCCCACACCGCCCCCCGGCCGCCCCCGCTCCCCCCACACCGCTCCCCAGCCGCCCCCGCTCCCCCCACACCGCCTCCCGGCCGCCCCCGCTCCCCCCACACCGCCTCCCGGCCGCCCCCGCTCCCCCCACACCGCCCCCCGGCCGCCCCCGCTCCCCCCACGCCGCCCCCCCGCTCCCCCACGCCGCCCCCCTCCCCCCACGCCACCTCCGGCCGCCCCCGCTCCCCCCACACCGCCCCCCGGCTTCCCCCACACTGCCCCCCCGGCCGCCCCCGCTACCCCCACGCCGCCCCCCTCCCCCCACGCCGCCCCCCGGCCGCCCTCGCTTCCCCCACGCCACCCCCCGGCCGCCCCCGCTCCCCCCACACCGCCCCCCGGCCGCCCCTGCTACCCCCACGCCGCCCCCCTCCCCCCACACCGCCCCCCGGCCGCCCCCGCTCCCCCCACACCGCCCCCCGGCCGCCCCCGCTCCCCCCACACCGCCCCCCGGCCGCCCCTGCTACCCCCACACCGCCCCCCTCCCCCCACACCGCTCCCCGCTCCCCCCACACCGCCCCCCTCCCCCCACGCCGCCCCCGCTACCCCCACACCGCCCCCCGGCCGCCCCTGCTACCCCCACGCCGCCCTCCTCCCCCCACGCCGCCCCCCGGCCACCCCTGCTTCCCCCACGCCACCCCCCGGCCGCAGTCTCTGGAGGCGGGTTACGTAAGGGGCTGTTGCTGGGGGACCTCCATCCCGGGGACCATGGCCCCCCACCTCCCCATGGAGGGGGCCCCCTGGGACCCCTCCCAGCCTGCCAGGAGGGAAGTTCTAGAACTTTCTAGGCCACCCCCTAAGAGGGGAGGCCAGGCCTTCACCCCTTTCCTCCCTCCACCTTCCGGGCAGCAGAGCCTCGGCGTCCTGCTCACTCCACTCCCAGGGCCTGTCTCCTGGCCCAGCCCACAGCCACCCCACCCCACCCACCGCCGCCGCCGTGAGGGCAGACACGGCGCGGGGCCTGGAGGCACAGGCTGACGCGTCCTGGGCCGGCCTTTGGTTTTTAGTGTGTTGATTTCTGAGCGGAAGGGAGAGGGAGAGACATCCGTGATGAGAGAGACTCGGGTCAGCTGCCCCCTGCACGCCCCCCACTGGGGCCGGAGCCCGCGCCCCAGGCCTGTGCCCTGGCCGGCATCACCATGGACCTCCGGTTCAGAGGTGGACGCTCAGCCCTGAGCAGGCGGCCCGGCGCCGACACTTCTAAGATGTTTGTTTAGAAAGTCACAGGGTCCGAGGAAGGCCGGGGAACACACGGCTGAGGCGCAGGGCGCGGGGCGGGGGGGGGGGGCAGAGAAGCCCTAGGCTGGGTTTGGGGGGGCGGTGTGGACAGAGGAGGAGGGACAGCCCGGCTGGTGGGCAGCGCCTGTGCCCGTGGCCTCGGCGGGCGGGCGGCCCCCCCCGATGGGGCCCACACGGCAGCTTGGCAGGAGGGCAGCCTGTGCTGCTCCTGAGACGGGTTCCACAGCTGCTGACCCGCAGGGGCCAGTCTGGCTCTCAGGCCTCCGGGCCAGGCTCTAGCCCCGCTTTTATAACCTCCCCACTCAGGGCGGTTTTCCCTGCACGCAATAGCCGCAAAGGCACCAGTCCCAGCGCCAGCTTCTGGGCTTGGTGACCCTTTCCCCGCTTCCCCGTCGGTAACGTCTCCGCAGCCTGTGCCGTGCGGGCAGCGGTAACGCTGTCGCAGGGCCTGTCCGGCCTTTCCGCTCCGGTCCCACAGGACTGCCACCTCCGCAGTGTGCCTTTCTTTTTAAAATATTTTTGTTGATGTCAGAGAGGAAGGGAGAGGGAGAGAGAGAGAGAAACATCAACCATGAGAGAGGCTCATGGACTGGCTGCCTCCTGCGCACCCCCCACTGGGGATGGAGCCCGCAGCCCTGGCCTGTGCCCTGACCGGGAATCACACCTGGTTCACAGGTCAATGCTCAGCCCCTGAGCCGCGCTGGCCAGGCCCGTGTGCTCTCCACGCAGCATCCGGGTTCCTGGGGCCTGGCATGGCTGAGAGCCAAGCCGCACGCCGGCGCCAGGAGGGTCTCGGGCTCTGCTGCTGGATGCACCGGCGTCCTCCCTCCGCTCGGCCAAGGCGGACCTGTCGGCTCCACTTCCAGGAGGCCCCGAGCGCCCCGAAACCTGCCCAGGCCCCGGGGTGTCCCAGTGACCGGCTCCTGGTAACGGCGGCCCCCGTCCTGCACCCACTCTCCTACCCCCCCCCCCCACCTTCCCATGGGACAAAGCGGCCGCTGCGGGCGAGGTGACCGCTGCCTCAGAGCCAGCCCCGCCTGGCCCAGGCTGATAACTGGCTGGTGACAGCGAGGCCCAGGAATGTGGGCCGGCCCAGGGGACACAATCCGGACATTTTCCCCCGGACACCTGGCCTGGAGGGAGGCAGCCGCCCAGGCCCGTCCCCGCCCTCCTGCTCTGGGCCCTCCCGCTCTGGGACTGCTGGTGGCCGCCACTCTGGCCAGGAGGCCGCGGGGAAGAGCCCGGACTGGGCGGCGCCTGCCCCTGGAGGCACAGAACTCCCGGCTCAGCCAGGGGGGCAGAGGGCAGAGGGCAGAGGGCAGAGGGCGTGGGAGGAGCCGGCTCAGGCCTGGCTGTGCGCTGGGTCGCCTGCCGCTCCTGTGGAGAGAAATTCACAAACCCCGCGCCCACGCCACCTGGGGGAACAGCTTGTGGAGCCGCCGGCTGTCATCCTGTAATTACACCCGAGACCCCCCCTGCGTGACGCCGAGGAGCCGCTTACATAAGGCGCTCGGCTAAAAATACCAGGAGCTGCTGCACCCCAGCCTCCCGGTGCCCCTGCCCCCACCCACCCCACCCCGCCGGGTCACGGAGGGCGGCTCCTGTGCAGGGCCCGCTGCACCAGGCAGGGGCCGCTGGCTGGGAGCTGGGGTGCTGACCAGCCTCCCGGCAGCACCCCTCCTCCCGGGGCGCGGCGGCCTGGCCTCCGAGGTGACAGGGAGCCGGCGTGCAGGCCCACCGCCCGCTGCTCCTCCCCCCAGCCCTCCCACCCAGGGCAGTCCTGGGCTGGCCCCTCCCGGAGCTGCCCCCTCGGTCCGTTGTGAAGTGCCTCCCTCTGGCTGGTCTGGTCTCTGGGAGGGTGTCCGGGAGGGGGGCCAGGCCCAAGGCCGGGCCATGGTCTCTCAGCTGCTCCCACTGCCAACCTCCGGGCCATCCCTGGGTTCCCACGGCCCCCAGCACTGCGGCGAGGTGCCAGACAGTGTGGGCGCCTCCCGGGTAAACGGTGCCGGGAGAGGAGCCCAGGGCGGCGGCCACCCCATCCCCAAGCTCCTCACATCCCAGAATGCTCTCTGAGGGACGGCTCCCTCGCAGCTGACCCCCAGCCCGGTGGATGGCGGGCAGCCCAGGACGGGCATCTGAGCCCCTGGCCCACCTGGTGGGCGGGTGGGTCTTCCCAGGTCTCCGCCTCCACTGGCGAAGGAGGTGTCAGAGCTGGGCCTTCTCACTGCCGACCTATGAACCAGGAGGTCAGGGTTCGATTCCAGGGCAGGGCACAGGCCCGGGGGGGCGGGCTCGATCCCCAGTGGGGGTGTGCAGGAGGTGGCTGGTGCATGATTCTCATCATTGATGCTTCCCCTTCTTCCTCTCCCTTCCTCTCTGAAATCAGTAAAAACTTGTTTTTAAAAAAGAAGTTGGACCTTCCAGAGGGTGGCACAGGCCGGGAGGCCCCTCTCCTCCCTCTCCTGTCCGGAGGCTGACAGCCCAGGACCCTACCAGTGACCAGCCCCCAGTCAGGCTTTGGTCCAGCCCCCCCCCGACCCCCCCCACCTCAGCCCGAACCCCGTGCAGGTCCAAGGGCCGCGCAGGGCGGCTCGGACGGAACCGGCGCAGACTGTGCTGCTGGCCAGGGAAGGGGAGAGGGGCCAGAGACCCAATCGCTCTCAGAATCAGCGTGTCCCACACCCAGCAGAACCAAACCAGCATGCAGACACCGGAGCCTCCTTAACCTCATGGAGAAGACGGCCTGGCCAGTAGCCGGGAGACACAGGCCTTTCCTGTGTCCGTCTGTCCGTCCGCCTTAGCCAGGTCCCTTCGGCCACAGATGCCCGCTGGCTGTCCTGCGGATCCCGAGCTGCCAGTGGGTCTCCCTTCTGCCTGGAGCCTGCTGCAGACAGGGTGAACTGGGCCGCCCAGGGACGGGGCACTGACCGCCCAGGGACGGGCGCTGACCGCTCAGGGATGGGGTGAACTGGGGACGCCCAGGGACTGGGGGCTGACCGCCCAGGGGCGGGGTGAACTGGGGCCGCCCAGGGACAGGGGGGGCTGACCGCCCAGGGGCGGGGCGCTGGCTGGACGGGACACGCTCGGGTCTTGTGTTTCACGGTGAAGCGAGCAGCCGCCGCGTTGGTCTAACTCCTGTGAATGTTCCTGCAAAGACTGGTCCTGGGGCCCAGCAGGTCCGTGGCCTCCGGGGCTCCTTCAGGCCCGGCGGCTCTGACCCTGCCAACGAGGAAGATCCCCTCTCCCAGGTTCCTACCGCCCCACCCTCCGCCAGGGAAGTCCCCGACGAGGACCTCCGCCATCTGCAGGGTCCCCCTCCATCCCCCTCCACTCCCTCCATCCCCCCTCCACCCCCTGCAGCATCCAACCCCTCCCCTGCCTCCCTCCCCGAGTCCCCTCCGCAGTCCCCTCCGCACCCGCTCAGAATCTCAGCGCCACTCCCCTCTGCCGGGTCCTCCCTCCCTCGGGGCCCCGCTCCCCAGAAGGGCCGCCCGGTAATCGGTAATCGCCGCCGCCTCGCGGACCTACCCACGGGGGTGCCGGTCGGGCCGGACCCGCGGGCAGCGCCCTCCCCCCCATCCTTCACCAGCCGCTGCCCTGCCCGGTTGCCACGCTCCCGGCCGCGGCGCCCCCGCACCCCCACCTTCTGCTCCCTCCTCCCGCGCCCCCCGCCCCCGGCCCGGCTGGTGCCCGCCCCCCAAGGCTGCTCCCGGGGCCCCAGCCCGCGCCGCGCCTCCGCCTGCTCCCGCGATCGACAGGGCCTCTGGCCAATCGCTGCCGGGCGCCGGTCCCTCCCCCTCACGCCCCGCCTCTTCTCCCGCCCCCTTCCCCGCTCCCGGGCCCACCAATGGGAAGGGCGCGCGGGGGCGGGGCCTGCCGGTTGCCTAGCAGCGGCGGGCTCGCCGGGGGCGGGCGGCCGGGGGCGGTGTTCTGGGCGCGGCGGGGGCGGGCGCTGGGGGCGGGGGGGCGGGGCCTGCGCGCCTATAAAGGCGGCCGCCGGCGGCTCGCCGCGCTCCCCTCTGGACCCGCGCGCCGCCCGCATCAGCCGTCCGCCGGGTCGTCGCCCCGCCGCCCCCGCGCCCCCGCGCCCCCGCCGCCGTCCCCGCGCCCCGCTCGGCCGCGGTGCAGCCGGACCAGCACCATGTCGCTGTCGCGCTCGGAGGAGATGCACCGGCTGACAGAAAATGTCTACAAGGTGAGACCCCCCGCGCCTGGGCCCGACCCGCGGCCCCGGCCATGGGGTCTCCCCGCGCCGGCCGGCCCCAGGGTGCGGCGCCCCTCGCCGCCCCGCGCCCCGCGCCCAGGGCGGAGGAGAGGGGCGCGGGCCGGGGTGGCGGCGGCGGGGCGGCGGGTCCCGAGCCGCGGTGCCCACGGCCGCGCTCCAGGCGCCCTGCCGGCCGGCGCGGTGGCCCCGGGCATGGCCCCGGGCGGGTACGCAGGCTCCGGGCACTTTCCTCCACGGGCGCTCCCGCCGCCGCTCCGCGCGGGGCGGGGCGGGCGGCCGGGGGCGCGGGCGGTGGAGGGTGCGGGTGCCCCTCTTATGTAACCGGGGCCGGGCGGGCTGGGAGCCGGAGCGGCCGCCTCTGCCCGGGGTGTGTGGAGCCCGTCCGGGGCCGCAGCCTCCGGGAAGCCGGCCCCCGCCCGCCGTGCCCGGGGTTCCTGCCCCCTCCTCCCCGGGGGTGGGCGCAGACCGCGGGGCCGGTGCCGGGTCTGCCGCCTCCAGGAGAGGGTCCGGGCGGCACGGCCCTCCGTCCGGAGCCAGTGCGAGGGCGCGTGTGGGCCCGGACGGCGCTGGTGCGGGCGGCCGGCGGGCTCCGAGCGGCCCAGCAACAGTTTCTGTTTGTGTCCAGCAGCCGCGGCGGCCAGGGGCCAGGCCTGCGAGCCCGCTCCTTTCCTCCGTTTGGGCCCTGGACACGGGGTGGGTGGGGGTTCGGGGTGGGGGTTCGCCTGCAGCCGGAGCGCCCGAAGTTGCAGGGAGGCCGCCGGCCGGCGGGGGCTGGCGGGCGGGCGGGAGGGGCGGCCTCGGCGCCGTGTCTGCTCCGCAGTCGGGAGGAGGCGGATTCCGCCGTCGCTGTCAGCTCCTGGGCCGGCGCCAGTGCAGGGGCGGAGGGAAGCGCGGGCAGAGCTCCCACCCCCACACTCGAAGTGGGAACTTTGTGGCTGGGCGGCGGGCGGGCAGCGCCCGGGCTGAGCGTCTGCAGTGAGCGCGGTGGCAGGAAACCATTCGGACGGGCGTTAGGGACGGGAGCACACCCCCCGGGGGGCAGCCGGAGGGCTGGGGCCCACACGCCACCGGCCCCGAGCTGGTCAGTGGCTGGAGCGCGGGCAGGCGGGTCTGTGCTGGCGTGCCCTGTGCCCGCTGCCTTTCTGCGTTGTCGCCGGGGAATGCCAGTCTCCGGCAGAACCGGTACCGGTTGGGCAGCTTTGGTAGAAACCAGCCCACATGGAGGCACAGCCGGGACACAGCCGAGCCACGTGCGGGCGGCCCGGGCCGGTCGGGCGGGTGCTTGGTGCTGCCCGGGGACGGCCTGCAGGCGGTGGCCAGGCTCGGCGTCCCCTCGAGCCGCTGCCCCCGGCGAGTGGCGTCTGTTCGCCATGGCCCGGAGGGCAGGGGCGCTCACCCTTGGCCTTGCTGATTAACGCCGGGAGCGGAGGTACGGCGTGTTCCTCCCGCAGAGGCTGCCCTGGTCCTGTGGCCGCCCCCCGGGCCGCAGGGGGTTCGTGGAGGGCGAGGGGAGGAGCAGCCTGCCTTCCCAGAGCCCCGAGGCCGGCCTCGCCCCCCAGGGCCGGGGCTCAGGCAGAACACACCTCTCGGCAGCCCGGGATTGCCCCGGCCCGGACAGAGCAGGAGGAGTTGGGGTGTCTGCTGCTCAGAACGGGCGCAGTCCCGCACGAGGGTCCTGCTCACGGTCCCGTCCCAGGAGAGGCCCTGGCTCCCAGCCCCCTGGTGATGGAGGGGCGGCTCTGGTGTCCTCTGTGCGGGGGGGAGGGGCGGGGGGGAGTCCCTAGGGAAGCCTCGGGTGCCGCCCGGTGTCCTGCCTGCGGCCGGCTGCTCAGCAGAGGCTGTGCTCCCTCGGCGGAGGGGAGCTGGCAAGGCCCTCAGAAGAGGGTGCCAGCGCGTCTGTGCGGCCCGGAGTCTCCCCGCCAACCCCCCACCTCCCCGTGCAGCTGAGAAGGGCTGGTGCTGGGGTGTGGGGCGCTGGCTCCCTGCCGGCTCCCCCACCTCACCCCACCCACTCCTCCAGGGAGCGTCTGAGGGCGTGGAGGGGAGCATGGGGCCGCAGGTCCTCTGCGGCTGACCTCTGACCCCTCCGCCCCCATGCCCACGGAGTCGTTCAGAAGCCTGGTGTGGGGCGGACGGGCTTGCACGTGGTGAACCGACTCTGATAGGCACGTCCTTGGCAACGGGCGGAGCCGCTCGGCTGAGGAGGGGAGAAGTCGCAGCGCTGCGCCCCCTCTGAGTGCATGGGAGTGCGCGCGTGGGCGCACGGATGCCAGCGCGTGTGCTCATGAGAGTGCGTGCGTGCATGTGTGTGAGTGCATGTGTATGAGCGTGTGCACGAGTATGCCTCAGCTGGTCGTGCACATGTGTGTGCGCATGAGCATGCGTGCATTTGTGAGTGTGTGTGGGTGGTGCTTTGTTTGATTTTTTAAGAAATATATTTTTATTGATTTCAGGGAGAGGAAGGGAGAGAGAGAAACATCCATGATGAGAGAGAATCATTGCTCGGCTGCCTTCTGCCCGCCTCACGCTGAGGATTGAGCCCGAAACCCGGGCATGTGCCCTGACGGGGAATCGGACCCTGACCTCCTGGTTCATAGGTCGCACTCAGCCTGAGCCGTGCGGCGGGCACTTTGTTCGCTTTGCTGCACAGGTGTTTCCAGGGGTGCCCCCCCCCCCGGGCACCGTCTCCCCGTAGACGTGGGTCTGCTGCCCCTGCCTGGCTGCCCGCGTCCCTTCTCCCGAGCTCTGCGCGGTGGCCCTTCCCGCCAGTTCCCGCACCGGCCGCTCCCTCGCTCGCGTTTCCGCCGCCCTGAGGCCCGAGCTGCCGGCTTCAGCCCCCTGCCCAGCCGCCTCCCGGGAGCCGGTGCGGCGCTTGCACCTGAAGGGAACCGGCGCAGGCGCTGGGCCTGGAGGCCGGGCCTGCCCCGGGGCCCGGTGTCCCGTGTGCAGAGCTGGGGTTCCGTCAGCTCCGATGACTGACCATGGGCACCTGAGTCTCGAGGCCGGGGCAGGGAGCTAAGGCTGGCTGACACTCCCCCGTTTGAGGGTCTGGGTCCCGCACTGGGAGCCGGGAACGTATCTGTAGGACCAGGCTGGGCAGGCGGCGCTGGCCTTGCCATTCACACCCCCACCCGGCCCGCCCGCCGCCTGTGGGGAGAGTGGCTGGGGGGCCGGGCCTGATGGGAGACTGAGTCCCGTCCTGAGAGGTGACCTGGGAAACTTGGGGGGCGGGAGGGGGGGGAGCAGAGGCTCTGCACCCTGCTGGGCGCCCAGTGGACAGCCTGCGGCCTTGAGGCCTCCACTTGTCTCCGGCCCGTGCCCCTCTGGTTCCTCGTCCTCCTCGTACTCCGGAGCCACCGGGGGCAGCCAGGCCCCCGTCTGGGCACCCCCTTGGGGCAGCGAGTGTGAGCTGCTGGGATGGGTGCCAGGACACGGACCCCTGGGGGGAAACTCGGCTGCTCCGAGCGGGTGCTCCCCGTGGGATGGGTATCAGCTGCAGGTTTCGTCACGTGTGATACACGCATGAACCCATGGGCGGGCTTCCCCAAACTTGTCTGCACGCAGAGCCTGGCTCCTGAGCTCCGCCGGCTCCCGCTGCCAGAGCAGGCGCGCCCGCCCGCGGGTGCCGTGGCCGCTCCTGAGGTGCTGGTCGCTTCCACACCTGATGCCTGTCCCGCTCTGTGTCCTGGGGCCTCCTTTCTCGTGGGAGAGGTTTTCCTGCTAAGAGCCTGTGGGCCTGACCTGCAGGCTTCCCACCTTGGGGGTGTGGAGGGTGGGGGCAGTCACCAGGGGCCCACGCGGTGCCATGGCTTACCCTGGGGTTCGCTGGGCGTCGGTGCTATGGATGGACAGGCGCCTGGACGTTGGAATGGGGGTGCCTGCCCCGGAGCCAGAGTTCCGTCCAGCGGGCCGTCTGTGTCCCGGGAGCCAGGGAGGTCAGGTCTGACCCGCTAGCAGGGGGCCTTGCTGCTCCCCGTGGCGGAGGCTTGCCCTTGGGGCCCCTCCACCGCTGCCCGCTCTGCGCAGCCTCTGCAGGAAGCGGCCTTGTCTGCCCCTCTGTCTGTGCCCTCCCGTCCCCCCCACGGAGGCAGGTCCTTTGTGTCCAGGGCCCCACGGCACCCGGGGCGTCCAGGCTGGCTGTGGGTGAGAGGTGCGGGGGGGACGGGCCAGCCTACGGGCTGAGGGAGCCGGCGGGAGGAGTCCCGGCCTGAGGGGGAGGGCGGAGGTGCTGGAAGGAGCCTGCGGCCAGAGGCCAGAATCAAACCTGGACCGTGGTCCCCAGGCCGAGGCGCTCTCCCTGAGCCGCACTGGCCGGGCGGCACATGCTTTCTCCGAGGCTCCCCGGGGGGAGGGGGCGGGGGAGTGGACGCTCTTTGGGGCAGAGGGCGGGGCCGAGGTGGGAGGCCCAGGCTGAGGTCCATGTGGCTGCCTGCCCGTGGCCTGTGCTTCCAGCCATGGCCGCCCGCCCAGCGGAGGGTGTGGAGGGGCCGGCCCGAGGCGCAGGCCCGGCTTGCTCAGCGGGCGTTGCTGACCCAGCGGGAGCCTGGCCCTGAAACTCGGCCGGAGCCACCTGGGCTGGAGCCGCCTAGGCCGGCACGGGTCCGAGGCCCGGGCGCCCTGCCCCGTTGGTCAGGCGGTGACGGGCTGGTGTGTCATCAGGGTTTGTTGTCAGTGTGAGAGCAGGGCCAGCTCAGCTCTGCGCTCCAGGACAGCCGGTCGGTCAGCTGGCGTCCCCGGGCGGGCCTGGGTGGCCGGGACCCGTGGCTGCTCTCGGGAAGGCAGCTCTGGCCCCTCAGGAGCTGCCCCCAAGCTCAGGATGCGCAGGGACAGCCTCGGACAGGAAGGAAGTGGCCGGCTGGCGGGGCGTGTTTGGATCCTGCTGGTCGGACTGTGTTTGTCCGGTTCCCGCCGGAGTGGCTGCCGGTGGGGCAGGCCCCGCCCCAGCAGGAGCGGCTTGGGGCTGCCCTGCCCCAGAACCTCTTGCAGGGGCGATCAGATGTGGGGGGGCCTGAGAGAAAGCCAGGATGGGGTGGGCCCTATTTCATTCTGTCTCTGGTCCTGACGTCCCCCAGCCCTTCTCCCAGGCTTCCGGGCCCTGGGGGGCAGCCTTCGCTCCTCCCTGTGGGACTGGGCGCCGGCACAGTGGAGAGACACAGGTGGCCTCTTGGGGAGCGGCGCCCCCTCACGCCCTCAGGGCAGCTTCACGCCCCTCCCGGGAGGCTGCGCCTCGCCTCCCGTGCTCGGTGGCCTTGGCCCTGGTCCCTGCCCTGACAGTGGGGGAGGGGTCCTTGTGGCCCGGGCGGCCTGTGGGGCTCAGGCCCCGGGGTCCCGTGGGGAGTGGGGAGGGGAGCCTGGTGTCCAGCCTCGGGGTGCACCCCCGGCTCTCCCCTGGTGCAGCAGTGAGGTCCGCCTCCCCCAGGAAGCCCTCCCACCCACCCCCCCGAGTCCTGGAGGCGGGTTCGCCCCCTTAGGCTCCCGGCAGGTGCCAGGCTTCATTTAGTTCTTACTGATGTCCGAGAGGAAGGGAGAGGGCGAGGGAGAGGAACATCAGTGACTGCCTCCTGCACGCCTCCTACTGGGGACCCAGCCTGCAGCGTGGGCCTGTGCCCTGACCAACCGGGAGTGGAGCTGTGACCTCCTGGCCACTGAGCCACGCCGGCCGGGCAGATGCCCCAGGTTTTAGGGAGGGTCAGACCGCCCTCTGCCCAGAGCCCCCGCTGGTTCCTGCTCGGGAGGGGGCTGCTGTGGGAGGCCCCCTGGGGGAAGGTCCCGCCTCTCAGCGGGGCCTAGGCCGGAGCACCCAGGCCCTGGTGCCTGCTCCAGATCCAGCGCCTGCCCGCCGGGCCCAGGCACCACAGGGGGGGGGGCAGTGGGGCACCAGGACCCTCGGGGTGAGCAGTGGGGCCGGCTGCCCTCCAGGCAGGAGGGGCAGGGGTCAGCCTCCTGGGGACGGCCCGAGCAGGAGCCGCCTCCACCTCACCCATTCGCGGGTGGAGGTGGCTCCTCGGAGCCCAGGCCCGTGAGCTGCCTGCTGGCCCCTGGCCCTGTGCCGCCAGCCCCGTGCCCGGCGGTGCTGCTGCGGGAGCCGCGTGGTGAGGGACAGGCCGGCCCCGGAGCAGGACCCGGTGGGCAGGCCCTCTCTGTCCATGGGGGACGTGGGCCGGACACAGCTGAGCGGGAGGACCGGTGGGGGCGGGGCCCTCCCCGGGCCGGGCCGAGGGCGGCAGAGGGCGGCCCTCCCTTCCTGCCGGCGACGGCAGCACCTTTGTTCTGTTTGCGGCGGAAGGGGCCGCAGGGGCCCTGGCTGGAACCAGCTGAGGAGTAAACAAGCGAGCGGCCAGGCGGGGAGAGGCGGCTTGGAGCTGCCCTCTGCCCTCCGCCCTCCGGCCTTGCTTGGGAGTAGTGGGGGCCAGCCAGGCGGCCAGGCCTGCGGGGGCCTCTGTGCAGCCCGGCCCTCGGTCGGCACGGGGCCGGGACACCACACGGGGCCGGGACACCGCACGGGGCCGGGATTCCGCACGGGGCCGGGACACCGCATGGGGCCGGGACACTGCACGGGGCCGGGACACCGTACAGGGCCGGGACACCGCACGGGGCCGGGACACCGCACGGGGCCGGGACACCGCATGGGGCCGGGACACTGCACGGGGCCGGGACACTGTACAGGGCCGGGATTCTGCACGGGGCCGGGACACCGCACGGGGCCGGGACACCGCACGGGGCCGGGACACCGCCGGGGCAGGTTGGTGCGGCCGCAGGGTGCAGGCTGTGGCTCACGGCCGTGGGCTAGTCCAGAGCGGGGTCCCCTGTGGTTCCCCAGGGTCCCCGAGTTTCATGACGGCACGAGGCCGGCACCTGGGGGGTCCTGCCCAGCGGCTGCCCCCGGGCTCCTCCTGGCGTGTCCCGGGCCCCGGCCTGCTCTTACTGCATCCGCCCTTCGTGTCCATAACGAGACTCCCCTCCCGTCGCCGGCGAACAGCGGCCTCGTGCGGGGCGGGGTGGTGGCTCCCTCTGGGCGGGGTCCCCGGAAAGGTATGCCTCGAGGAGGCAGTGTGGTGACTCGGGGGTCCCTCTGCGTGAGGCGGGTGCTGGGAGGGGCGTCAGGCACCCCCTCGCGGCCGCTCAGGGGTTTGGGCCCAGCCCGAGTGCAAACGCTTCTGGTGAACCTCCAATAGCAGGGGTTGGGCCCCGGGAGGCCCTGCCTCAGGGCACCCCTCGCGGGAGGGGCTCAGCCTTCCTGGGCCACCAGGTCCCCCCAAGCCAGTAGCCGTGGACCCAGGAATCCGCAGGCGGAGGTGGCCCCGGGCCTGGGCTGGGAGATACGGCACAGGTGCCGGCCGGGCCCGGCCCCTTCTCAGCGAGCGGAGCCCTGCCCTGCCCAGGTGGCCTGGTGGCACCGCGTGCCCACCCCGCCCGCCCGCCCCACATTCGTGGTGCGTGAGCTCAGCGCTGAGCGAGGAAGTGAAACTGGCTCTGCCCCCAGGTGTCACGGGAGGGTGTGGGGGGTGTGACCTCCTGGGCTGGCCTGCCCGCTGCCAGTCGGACCCGCCACCCGCTGAGGCCTGCGTCCCCTCAGCGGACGCCGCAGCAGGCTGTCCCCTGGGAGTTCTCCCAGCGCGCTGGGGGCGGTCAGCCGGCAAGGACTCCCCGGGAAACGCCGATCGGCCTCCAAGGGGGCCTCGGTCCGCAGTCTGAGAGCCGCGGGCGTTGGCACCCAGCTGCCGTCCGCAGGCGGGAGGCCACAGTGGGAGGGCCCCCTGGGCTGAGCGTCTGCGGCCACTGGAGAGGCCCGCCCGGAAAAGCTGTTTGCCCGAGGGCGGGGAAGCCTGGCTGGGCTGGGAGGGCACGGGGTGCGCAGCCCCCATCCTGCCCCGTGGCGCCCAGCCCTGACGCGCTGTCTCCCGTAGACCATCATGGAGCAGTTCAACCCCAGCCTGCGCACCTTCATCGCCATGGGCAAGAACTACGAGAAGGCGCTGGCAGGTAAGGCGCGGCTGTGGGGGGCGTGTCCGGGTCCCCACAGGTCCCCGGCGCCAGGACAGGCCTGTAAGGTCCGTCTGGGAGCCAGAGGAGGGGGCTCAGAGCGGGGGCCCCTCAGGCTGCTCCGGCCCTTTGGTGTGAGCCCTCCCGCCCCCCTGGGCCTGCAGCTGCCAGAGCAGAGCTCCCCGCCCGGGCCCACAGCGCCTGGCCGCTGCTGAGGGCATGGCCAGGCTCCTGTGCTGAGGGCCCGGCTGGGACTCGGCTCTGCGCCCGGACTCACCTGTGTCCCAGGGGACCCCCAAGGGGGGGGGCATCACTCAGAAACGGGTCCAGCCTGGACTGAAGCGTCTCGGGGGGCTGGTCTCGGGTCTGCTTGTCCCAGAGGGAACTCACCCCCCCCCCCCCAGGTGTGACCTACGCCGCCAAGGGCTACTTCGACGCCCTCGTGAAGATGGGGGAGCTCGCCAGCGAGAGCCAGGGCTCCAAGGAACTCGGTAAGCCCCACGCTGCTGACACACGCCCCACGCCGCTGACACACGCCCCACGCCGCAGACACGCCCCACACCGCTGACACGCCCCACGCCGCAGACACGGCCCACGCCGCTGACACGCCCCACGCCACTGACACCCCCCCACGCCGCCGACACACGCCCCACGCCGCTGACACGGGCCCCACGCCGCTGACACACGCCCCACGCCGCTGACACACGCCCCACGCCGCAGACACGGCCCACGCCACTGACACACGCCCCACGTCGCAGACACACGCCCCACACCGCAGACACGGGCCCCACGCCGCTGATACACGCCCCACGCCGCAGACACGCCCCACACTGCTGACATGCCCCACGCCGCTGATACACGCCCCACACTGCACGGCCGGACAGGTGGGGGCCCAGGGCGGGGCCGGACAGGGTAAGGGCCCGGGTTGGGGTCTGGACAGGCGGGGGCCGGCCTGGCGGGGGCAGTGCACGTCCAGGAGCAGGTGTGCAGGCTGACGGGAGGCCCTCGTGGACTCGGACGCCTTAGTGTCTGGAACTCGCTCTGGTGTTAAAGGGAGTGACGGGGAGGCCACGGGCAGGCGGCCCGGTCTGTGGGGTTTGCTGCGGTGAGCGCGGCTGGAGGAGCATCCGGGCGGTTCTCTCTGCCTGTGCCGTGTCCTGCAGGTTCCCTGGGGAGCTCGGGTGCACTGGGGGGCGTGGGCATGGGGGAGGCCAGCCCCTGCGTCCGTAGCCAGCGGCGCGAGCTGAACTTCCCTCCTGTGGAGACAGCTCCTGGACACAGCTCACCGGGACACGGCGCAGCCCAGGCTCCGCCCCGGCTCCCATTCACGGGCTTGTGGCCACGGTTGAGCACGTGACTCCACCTTGAGCAGAGGTCGAGCTGACCCTGTCGTGACCTCCGTCCCCTCAGGCGGTTCCTTGTCAGGGATGGGAGTGAGGGGCACGCCCTGCCCTCCGGTGACGGGGCCTGGGAGTGGCCAAGCAGCGCCCGGGGCTGTGGGGCCTGGGAGGCAGCCCCGGGTGTCCCCCGACACTGGACACTGACCGTGTCCCCGCTGGCCAGGCCTGACCAGAGGTGGTTTTCCCAACTCAGCCCGATGCCCACCCACACGGCCCTGCCCCCGCCGCCTGGGCCCTGGGGTGGGCCCTGGGGCCACAGTCAGGCTCACTGGCCACTGCGTGACCCCCTTTCTGCCATGACCCCTGCCCTCCCGTTACTTGGGTCCTTCCTGCCCCTTCCCTCCCGTCCAGGATGGAAGCTGCCTCAGCAGCGGCTCCTGCCCATGCCCTGGTCTCAGCCCTGGTCTGGCCGCCAGGACATGGCCGGCCGCGGTCCTGAGCCACCCTCCCCACCGGAGGCCATGGTGCTCCCCGCCCGAGTGAGACTCCAGCGAGCAGTTCCCCGTGGAGCTCAGAGCCGGCGTGGCTGTGGCTGCCCGGCCGCCCCCGTGGAGCCGGAGTGGCTGGCTGCCTTTGGTCCGCCCGCCTGCCCTGCGGCCTCACGGAGGGGCCTCCTCCCGCCTCTGTTCCCTGCGGTGCGTGGGCCACGCCGGGCGGCCACGCGGCTCAGCCTCACTTTGATGTGCAGGCGGCTTAGTTAGGAGCGTGGACTGCCGGAGTTCCGGAACCTTCCGCTGCCCTGCTGACTCCGCCAGCAGCTGCTGACCCATGAATTCAGTCTCTGGCCCACCCCACAACAGTGATGTACGTGGAGGCGCCCTGGCCGTGCCCCTGCCCCTCCCCTGCTGGCGCCGTCCACGCCGTCCTCACCAGCGGTCACTGTGGTCCAGGCTCAGGCCAGTCCCCAGGCTCTGGCGCAGAGCCGGATGGACGAGCTTGCGGCGGGGCTGGTGCGGTCCGGGCGCCTGCAAGGCTGCGTCTCCTGAGGGACCCGGGGCGCCCTCCCCCCGAGCCTCCTGACCCCGGGCCCTCAGAAATGCCGCCGGCTGGCCGACCATGGCGGGGAGCTGAGGGTGTTCTGGAATGGTCCGAGATTGGCGGTGAGGGCTCCTCTCTCTGCCTGAGGAGGGCAGCGTCCGGCGGCAGGGCCTGGCCTGCACAGGGTGGGGTTCGTGTCCATCTCCCCGGTGCTCCGAGGTGGCCGTGCCCCGGCTCTCCTCCTGGTTTTTTGTTTCCATTGTTTTAACATTTTTACTGGCTTCAGAGCGGAAGGGAGAGGGAGAGGAGAGAGAGACATCGGTGACGGGAGAGAATCGTGGCCTGGCTGCCTCCTGCACGCCCCATGCTGGGGATGGAGCCCAGAACCCGGCCTGTGCTCCGACCGTGACCTCCTGGTCCCTGAGCTGCGGCCGGGCTGAGCTTCGAGTTTGTGGCGTTGATTCAGGCAGAAGCCACAGTGTGAGGGGCTGGGTGCCGTCCCCTCGGGGCCCAGAGCAGCCCCGTCCTCTCCCGCCTGCGCCTGTGCCGTCGCCCGCATCAGCGGGCCTGGGGGGAGGGGAGACACGGGGTGCTGTCGGCTGGAAGCACACGCGTGCTCGTCCCGGTCCCCGTCCGTGTGCCTGCGGTTTCTCCCCATTTTAGCTCCTGGGGGCCCCTCCGGGGCTGCTCCCTCCAGGCGCTGTCCGCGGACACCATTGGCACGGGGGGGGGGGGGGGGGACCTTTCCCGGCTGGCGGGGTGCCCCTGGCTGCACAGACCCGCCCACCTGCAGCCTGTTCCCGGCTCCTCCCATGGCTGTGAGCTGGGGGGGTGGGAAGGGGGGAGGCCCAGGCACGCTGTGCACATGTGGGCGCTGGGCGGCTGACGGCGCCACAGACATCACGTGTCACGTGCAGGAGGAGGGTCCGTGCCTGCCCTGGTCGACCCGGCTCTGCAGGGAGGCTGCAGCTGCACAGCCTTCTGGAACATTCTGGACTTGGAGGAAGGTGGCCCGGGCGTGGCAATGAGCGGGGCACAGCCTTCTCTGCACCCTCTGCCTCCGCCACGTGGGGCCTTGCCCTGGGGCTGGCCCATCGGCGGCTGCGGGTCGCCCTCCGGGCTCCCGTGCTGTGCCGTGCGCTCAGCCTTTGAAGAGCCGCCGTGTGTGCCCGGGCGTGTGCGGGCGCAGGCTGGCTCCCGTCAGAGGGCCGCACGGGGAGAGCCGGGACTCCTGCCGGGCCGGCCTCAGGGCGGGGCCTCGCGGGTGGGAGGGCAACCGGAGCTGAGTCACTGGTGAGGGTGTGGCCCCACGGCCCTGGCGCTGGGCTGCCGTCCACGGGTCCCCGCGTGGAGCAGGCAGGTCGGTCAGCCAGAGCCCAGCCTCCCCGGCCCCGGGCAGCAAGCTGTGTGCCGTGAGACGGCGCCGGGAGCCGTGCCGATCACCTGGGCCCTGGTCTTAGCTCAGACCCAGGAGGAGTGGTCACTGCTCCCTCGGGACTCGGAGTCCAGCAGGAGGGCCTGAGGGGCCTCCGGGCCGCGCTCCGCCCTCCCCTTCACCTGCAGATGGGGCTGCTGGGCTGCGAGTGCCCACCCCCAGGCCGTCTCCCCATCCCGGTCGCTGGCTCAGCGGTTAGAGCATCGGCTCGGGCACCGAAGGGTCACGGGTTCGATTCCTGTTCAAGGGCACCTACCTGGGTGTGGGCTCACTCCCCGCCCTAGGTTGGGTCACGTGCAGGCGGCAACCAATCAATGTCTCTCTCACATCTCTCCCTCCCTCCCCCTCCTTCCATCCCCCCTTCCGTCCCCCCTCCCTTCCTCATCCCTCCTCCTTCCCTCTCCCCTCTGCCTTCCTACCCCTTCTCCTGTCCTTTCTTCCTCCCCCCATCCACTCTCCCTTCCTCATCCCTCCCTCCTCCCCTCCTCTCCTTCCCGTCCTCCCACTTCCACTTTCTGAGAAGCAGTGGAAAGCATCCTTAGCTGCGGATTAACAAAACAAAGCAAAACAAAGCGAGAACATGTTGTCTTTTCTGGAGAAAAGTCCGCCTGGACCTCAGCCGCGTCAGCGCTGGGAGCGGCACCGCGGGGGCTCAGAGCCGAGGCCGGGCGTCGCCCTAGGAACCAGGAGGTCGCGGGGCAGTTCCCGGCCGGGGCACATGTCCGGGTTGCGGGCTCGCTCCCCAGTGGGGGCGTGCAGGAGGCAGCCGGCCCAGGCTTCTCTCCCATCACCGGTTTCTCTCCCCCTCCCTCTCCTTTCCCCTCTGAAGCCAATAAGAACACATTTAAAACGAGAGAGGAGGCTGACGGCCAGCTCCCACACCCGTCTCGGGGCTGACAGAGCCGCGTTCGGCTAACAGGGAGCAGGGACGTCGGAGCAGAGAGCTGGGGCGGTGGGGCTGGGGGCTGGGCGGCCAGGACCCGGTGAGGGCTCAGCCACTCACCTTGGTCGGGGTGCTGTGCGGAGGGGGCACGGGATCCCTGCCCCGGATGGACAAACAGGGAAGCAGCCAAGATGGCCAGCCCGGGAGGCCTGGTGGGGGCCAGGCGGGTCCTCGGGCTCCAGAGGCTGAGCTGGGAGGAGGCCGTTCCGCCCCTTTAAGCCCCAGAGCTGTCCCCGTGACTCAGCCTCTGGTCCCGGGGCCTTTGATGGGACCGGGCGTGGCTGGGACGGCCTCACACCACCAGAGCCTCTGCCTGCGCGGGGGAGGGGCGGGCTCCCGGAGGTCCCTGGGGGTGAGGAGTTCAGGTGGGAGGGTCGGCACCCGATGGCCCGGGGCTCAGGGAGCAGCAGAGGGTCCCTGCCTCCTCCCGCCGCGCAGGCCAGGCCCTCAGCCGGGCAGCAGTCCCTGATGGCCAGGCCCACGCCTGTGTGTGTGCGTTTCCTGGCGTTCTGATGTGGGTCTATTCCCCACGATTCTCTTACTCCACGCGGCAAAGTGTAAACACGTTATCCCAAACGCTGCAAGTTCTCCAGCCTCAGCAGAGACGTCAGCGCCGGCAGCGCCGCAGCCAAAACAGTGTGTGCCCGTTGCCAAGGGGACCCGCGGGGGAGCCCGCTTGCTCACCACTTCCGAGAAAGATGGGGGGGACGGAACCACCCACCGCACCCCACGGGGCTTGGCCGGGAGGTCAGCCTCGGCAGGGCGCGGCTGTGCCGGAGAATGTGGGGGGTGGGGGCTCCCCTGAGCCCTCTGCCTGCTGTGGCGCCGCTTGGCTCTCGGGGACTGGAACCCTGGGTGCTTCCTGCCAGGAAATGGGGGCCCCTCAGGCTCAGTGGACTCACTGCTCCCTCCACTCGGCTCTTCGTTCAGCCCGATTCCCCCCACACACCCCTGTCCTCCTCCTCCCTCTCCCGGGAGAGTGAGGTGCCAGCAGGCGGGGCACGGGGCACACGGCCGGCAGGAGGCAGGCGGTGAGCCAAGGCCTGGCAGAGAGCGGTCGCCTCGCCTGGCCCGCCTCCCGTCGGAGCACCCGCCCCAGCCTCGTCCCTGTGCCCGGCTCGCACCTGGAGCCTCCCCTCCTCCCAGGGCCCGGGGCAGGGGGACGGTTGGCGAGACTGTACCCCGAGTGCGGGACCGCCTCTGCGATGCCCGTGTTTGACACGGTCTGTCCCACTGGGCACCGCCACCCCCGCCTGGTAACATCCTGGGGCTGCACCCCGAGAGCGGGGGGTGGGGGGGGTGTCAGGGCCTCACAAGGACCCGTGTCCGGACACAAGTCCGCAGGCAGCGTCCTGGGCTCGGGGCCGCCCCCGGGCTCGGGATCAGACGGGAGAGGCGGGCTGTGTGCCACCCACCACGTGCTCGCAGCGCTCAGCAGCAGCACGCTCGGCCGGGGGCGGTGCCCGGGGCCTCGTCCCCAGGGGAGCTGACAGCGGAACCCTCCTCCGCCCCCGGGTGCAGGCTGGGCATGAGCGGCAGCCGGGCTCCTCGCGCTCTCCCTCCGGTTCCCTGACAGCGTCCTCTCCTCCCGGGCTCAGGCTGGGGGCCGTGAGGCCGGCGTCCTGTCCTGCAGGCTGGTCAGGCCCCGCCCAGCTGCAGGAGGGCTGAGCTGCTCGCAGTTCCTCTGCCCCCTCCCCTCCCTCACACGAGGTCTGTGCATCTGTCTGGAGCCAGACTTTTGGGAGGCGCCAGCAGTGCCCGGGGAGGGGCAGAACTCAGGCCCCAACGAGGGGGTGGTGGCCTGGATGGCCTGGGTCGATCTCTGCTCAGGAGGCAGAGCAGGGCCCGCAGGGGTGGGGGGCGCCGGTCCTGCTGCTGGGGTGGCAGCGGGCGGGGTGGCTGCCGGCTCCGTGTTCTCAGCATGTGCAGCACCTGCCACCAAAAAGGTCCTTGGCGAGTTCCTGCCAATCCAGTGACCACGCCGGCGCCTCCCTCTGTGGCCGTGGGGGTCCTTCCTGCCCCAGCCCCCTAACGTGCAGGTTGGAAGGGCCTCCAAGGACAGGTGCCCTTCGTGCGACACCCTGTGTCCCCACTGCTCCGCCAGACACTGAGGGAGCACCAGGCCCAGCCTTGCTGTCCCGGGGAATGCTGGGAGACTGCGGGCGTCCCGGCCCACCAGCTAGAGCGCGTGGGTCTGGCGTCCACTACTCAGCCACGTGGGGGCGGAACGGGGACCGAACCCTCACCCGTCTTTGTCTTCGCCTCCTGTGCAGGCGACGTGCTTTTCCAGATGGCCGAGGTGCACCGGCAGATCCAGAACCAGCTGGAGGAGACGGTGAGCCCAGCCCGCGGCCTGCACGGCCCGGCGTCTGACCCCGGCTTCTGTCCCGCTCCGCCCAGAGCCCCCGGCTCCCGGGGCCCGGCTGCGCCTGCGGGGTCATCCGCTCTGGGCTCAGGTGCTCCTCTTTCCCTGGAGTCACCTCCCACCTGTGCCAGGAGCGGGACCCTGTCTGCTTCCCCGCCCACTGTGTGCTCCCCGCCGCACCCGGGAGCTCCTCCCGGCCTACTGTGCGCTCCCGCCGCACCCGGGACCTCTTCCCGACCCACTGTGCGCTCCCCGCCGCACCCGGGAGCTCCTCCCGGCCTACTGTGCGCTCCCGCCGCACCCGGGACCTCTTCCCGACCCACTGTGTGCTCCCCGCCGCACCCGGGAGCTCCTCCCGACCCACTGTGCACTCCCCGCTGCGCCCGGGACCTCTTCCCTGCCCACTGGGAGCTCCTCCCGGCCTACTGTGCGCTCCCCGCTGCGCCCGGGAGCTCTTCCCGGCCCACTGTGCGCTCCCCGCCGCGGCCTGAGCTGACGCGGTGCGCGCTCTCTCCCCAGCTGAAGTCCTTTCACAATGAGCTGCTCACCCAGCTGGAGCAGAAGGTGGAGCTGGACTCCAGGTACCTGAGTGTAAGTAGCCCCTCCCTCCTGCCCCAAGAGGTTCCTCTGAGCGCCCTATCCTGCCCAGTGAGACCCCGCTGCCCGGCTCCCCTGTGCCCACTTGGGGGCTGTGAGTAAAGACGGTGGCATGATGGCCGCTTCCTGGAACCCGCGCCCACTCCCTCACCCACAGGGACCACGTCCCAGGCTCATGCCGGCCCCAGCCTGACCGTGGTCCCAGGAGCAGGGCCGGGGCTCACACCTCTGTCCCCGCAGGCCGCGCTCAAGAAGTACCAGACGGAGCAGCGGAGCCGGGGGGACGCGCTGGACAAGTGCCAGGCCGAGCTGAAGAAGCTGCGCAAGAAGAGCCAGGGCAGCAAGAACCCGCAGAAGTACTCGGACAAGGAGCTGCAGGTGGGCGGGCGGGGCGGCGGCGCACAGGGGCGGTGACTGCCCGCAGCTCGCACAGACTTCCGGTGGGCGGCGTGTCTGTCCTGGGCCGGGGGAGGCCGTGGGGGCTCTCAGCCTCGCTGGGACCTGAGCTGAGGCCCTCGTGTCCGCCTGTCTCAGCTCTGGCCGCCCTGCCGGCCGAGGCAGATGGCACTGGCGGGCGGGGGCGGGGCGCCGGGTCCTGTCACTCAGCCTCTCGCCAGGTCGCAGGCCTGAGTGCTGAGAGGCCAGGATGTAGGGCAGCAGGACCCGGAGGGGCTTGGCCCCAATTCCCCGATCCCACACCCCGGCCACCTCGCAGACAGCCCCGCCACCTGCTCCCCAAGGTCACATGGCCCAGATACGGAGGGACGGGAAAAAGGACCCCACTTGTTGTCCCAAATGCTCCCCGCCCGTCAGGAGTGGCAACGTGGGGGGCACCTGGACAGCGGGGGTTGGCACTTGGGTCCGCCCTCCGCTCAGAGCCCACCTTCCTGCTAGTCGGGCTGGCTGCATACACCCCCACTGCTGACTGGGCATGTGCAAGTGTGTGTGTGTACGTGTGTGTAGTGCCTCTGTGCACATGTGTGCGTGTGTAAGCACACGTGTGTGCCTGTCTGTGTGTGTGGCAACAGCAGATGAGGGTCAGCCCCCTGTGGGAAGCTGCGAGCTCTGGGGGGGCAGTAATCCCATCCCCCAGTACCTGCCCCCGTCCACCACAGCCTGCAGCCCCCACGCGTCTGTGTGTGTTAGCGGCAAGGACACAGCCTGCCCTCTGAGCACACCTTCCCGTTCCCCGCGTCCACGGTCTGTGGACCATCGTGACGCCTGGGAGCGGCCCTGAGGTTCCCCCCACCCCTACCCCGCCACCGAGATGGTTTGCCAGGTGCTTCCTGGAAGCCTGAGCCTGGTACAGCGCCCCCACTGTCCCAGAGGAGAATGGCACCCCGCCCAGCTTGCACCGGGCGCCCTGGGGCTGGCTGAGGACGGGGCGAGGGGGGCGCAGGAGTCGGTGCTTATGCCGTGTCCGAGGGGCTGCTTCTGGCCCGCGTGTCCTAGGGCTGTGAGGTGTGCTCCATGGAGCCCTCTACGCCCCCCTCCGCCCCCATAAAGCGCACACCGCCCTCCAGGCCAGCCGCCCCGGCTCCTCTGGCAGCGCCGTGAACGCAGCTGCTGGGGTGGCCCCCGCACTGCTCCGCCACCAGCACGTGTCAGGGCTCGTCCAGGCCGGAGCGCGCCCCGAACACGGAGGCTCCCCTGCAGCCCGGCCCCTCCCGGGACCAGCTGGCCCTCGGTAACGGCCGTCTGGGAGCCGGCAGGGAGGGTGAGATGCCTGTGGCCAAGCGCCCGCAGGCTCCCCTTGGTGGAGGCGGAGGCCCCCCATGCCTGACACACAAGGTGCCGCCATGGCGGGGGCTGGGTCAGCCGGCGCTGCGAGCTGCTGGTGACGGCACTGGCACAGAGGCTCCTGCGCTAACTGGGACGCGGGTCCCTCGGGAAGTGGATGTGCTGCCCGCCCTCCGGGCACCACAGAGGATGTCCCGTGAGCCACAAGCCTCGGCTGGCGACCCCGTCCCTTTGGCCCTGGGGTCTCAGCCACGCGGGTCCCCTCGGTGGTGGGGTGCGGTGGCAGCCTGACTGGTCTCTGTGAGAGTTGCCGGCAGCCCTTGGAGCTGCTGGTGGCGGCAGAGTCCTGTTGGGAAAGGGGGGTGGGGGCGCTGGGGCTGGGGCTGCCGGGCCCGAGCGGCCAGGGGGCACGGCCAGGCCTGGCCCCCCTCCCTCCCCCTCCCCTTTCTCCTTCCCCTCCCTCTCTGAGAGGAAAGCTGCGGGGGCGGGGGAGTTGTGTGGGGACAGTGACAGGCAGCCCGGCTGGTCCTGGTCTGAGGTCCTGGGTGCCCGTTGGCCTCGGCTCCCGGCTCGGGCTCTGGCAGGCGCGTGTCCCGGGCGACCTGGGGGGGGGGGCAGCTTCTATTTCAGGGGTGTGTAATTAACAGGCAGAGCTAAAGAACCGTAATTTAGATCGTCAAGGAGGATAATGGCAGAGGCTGGTCCCGTTACCACGTTACCACGTGGCTTTTGAAGAGGCGCTGGCGGCGGGGCTGTGCCCTGTGGGTCGCAGGCTCAGGATGCATCCCTCTGGCACGGGCTGGGCAGGGGCCTCGGGGGGGCAGAGTGCGAGAAGCCAGAGGTCTGGGACCGTGCCAGGCCTCCGTGCCCAGGGGGGCCTCCGTGCCCAGGGGGGCCTCGGCCTGTGGGGACTCCGCCCCTTTGTGCGCCAGGACTAAGCTCCCCCCTGCCGCCCACGGTGCAGGGGTGCGGCCGGTGCCTCCTTCCTGGCGCTGGAGTAATGTGGAGCCTCTTGGGCCTTAGAGCCGGGACAGGCCTCCCTGAAGGGCCCGGGCGCAGGCAGGAGCAGGAAGCTGGCTTAGGGAAGTGCTCGCTAGCTGCCTGTTGGGTGGTTTCCCGGCACGTGACATGGCAGGAATGTGGAGGAAGCATTTCAGTCTTTGAGGTCGGGTGTGGCTCTGGCACCTGCCGATCCCCCGTGGCCAGGGTAGGGGGGCTGCCCCGCAGGTGGGGGCCTCCTGGACCCCCGCTTCCTTGAGGGAGACCCCGTGGGCTCAGCACTCAGAGGCCACCTGGCCGAGCAGCGGAGTGTGACCTCCGACCTTCTCCAGGCCTCGGAACAGTCCCCAGGCCGGACAGTGGGGATGCTTGAGGGGGACCCGCGTCCCCTGGCTTCGGGGGAGGGTGGTCTGTGGGCCTCGATCCTTTGTTGGTGCCGGCCAGCTCGGGGGGCTCCCTCGGGCCTCTGCAGCTGGGGTGGGGCGTGGGCACACACTGGCCAGCACCCTGAGGGGCGAGGGCAGCTGGGTCTGATAGGACAGTCCTGCCCCAGGAACCAGAACCGGGCCCTAGGGTCCCCGAAGCCGCCAGGGAGGCCCCTCTTCTCCCTGAGCAGCACTGCCCCCCTCAGCCCGGCGGCAGCCGCTCAGTCCCCACCTCTCTCCCTGAGCCTGGCGCTTCAGTGAGGCTGTCAGGGCTCCTGGCCACGGAACCACGGAACCATGGTCCGGCCGCCACACGCAGGCTCCCGGGCTTGGGCTTCCCCCGCTGACCCCGGCCACTTCCTGTTCATGGTGGGCGTGCCAGGCCAGTCAGAGCCGGAGGGGCACGGCTGGCCCCGCCCAGGGCAGCCCCGCTGCAGCCGGCTGAGTCCAGGGACCGGTGGGCTGGGGCTCCCTCGCAGTCCCTGGAGGTCCCCGCGGCGGCGGCGGCGGCGGCGGCGGCGGGATTCCGTGCGTTCACAAGCTGAGAACCGTGGGGGCACGGCTGCGCCGGGCTGAGGTGGACAGTGCGGCAGGCACAGCTCCCGCGCACCCCTCCCCCGGTGGCACCCCGGCTTTGGAGGGAGAGCCGGGTGGGATCACTTTTGTCTTCTCGGATTGCAGGCTGCTCAGCCCCAGTGACTCAGTGGGAGCAGCCTCAGTGGGAGCAGCCGTGGGTCTTAAACGCTGTCAGCTGGGTGTTTCTATAGCGCCGTCGCCATGGCACCCGCTAAGCCGGGAACAGGCACAGCCGGGAGGGGCCGGCCCCGTGCCGCGCCCGCTGCCAAGCCCTGGCAGGTGAGGGCCGTCTCGCCCTCCTGTGCCCGTGTCCGGCGCAGACGCAGCTCGTGGGGTCTCGCCCACAGGGGGCATCGTGGCCCGGAGCCCTCCGGGGGCCGCGCCCGTGTCCGGCTCTCGGGCTTCCGGAGCCTGTCTCCCCGCGAGCCTGGGTGTCCAGGAAGGAGGTCGGGCAGCCGCTGTTCCTCAACAGCCTGGCGCCACGTGGCCGTGCCCAGGGCTCTGCCCAGCCAGACTGGGTGCCCCAGCCGCTGGACACCCAGGGCCCCGGGGAGGGTGGCGCTCCCCCCTCACGCCCCAGCCGGGTGGCCCAGGCCGTGGGGGGCAGTATTCTCCCACCTGTGCTCCGGAGCCGCCCAGGGAGACAGACGCTCTGGCCCCGCAGCCTCTGCCTGCGCTGCCCCCCACCCCCCAGCTCTGGCTCCCCCGACCGGCCTCTGAATAAGTGGAAACTTAAACATAAGACGCAGCCCCGCCCCCGCCCTGGGGGCTGCCAGCCGCTAACGAGGCCAGCCTGGGCCTGGCCCAGCCGGCTGCTCTGCTCCGGGGACGGAGGGGGACGGGGGAGGGCGGGCAGCCTGGAAACCCAGAAACCGTCCCAGCCCGGGGCCCAGGCGGGAGAGCTGTTCTCAGCCGCGCTCCGCTGTGCCCAGGGGGCCCGCGTCCCCGTTACGCGGCGTCCTGGGTGACGGACGGTCAGGCTGCCTGTGCTGCCCGCCCAGACGGTGCTGCCTGTGCTGGGTACTCCCCCTCCCGCACGCCCCTCCCTGAGCGAGCCCCTCCCTCAGGCCCTCTGCCTGGAGCGGGCCCAGCCCCTGGGCCGCCGCCCTCCTGTCCTCATGGCCCTCACGTGCCTCTCCTCAGGGCTTCGGGGGTGGACAGTCCCCTCGGCAGGCGCCCCGGCCGCCGCGGAGCCCCCCCTCCCCTCCTCCTCACGCCTTGCCCATGTGCCTGGCTCAGGCCTCCGGGGCTGATCTGCAGGCTCCCGTCCCCCCAGGAGCCTGTGCAGGGGAGCTTCTGGGGGCAGGGTGGGGGGGCACTGGGGGAGGGGGGCCCTGGGAGGAGGGCGGGGGGCACACATTTTCTAACCAGAGGAAAAGTACTTGAGTTGAGCTGCTTGGGATGTGGAAGAGGAGGAGGTGGAGCAGGAGGAGGAAGAGTGGGGAGAGGAGGGGAGAGGGGAGAGGGGGAGGGGTGCAGGGCGCCCCTGCTGGAGGCCTGGTGCGGGCGTGCAGACCTTTCTCCCCAAGTGCCATCCGTGGCCGCGGGCATTTGTGGAGGGGCCAGGCCTGACTCCCAGATCCAGGCCTTGTTCGGGGGTGGGGGGTGGGGTGGCTGTTTTGAGGCCCATTTAACTGCCCTCCCAGGGAGTTGAGTGGAAAGGGGGGGGGCTGCAGGCAGTGGGGGGGGCCCACGTTCGGGCTGGGCGGGGCGGGGCCTGCCTGCGGGAGCGGCTCGTTGCGCTGGCAGAGGGTCGGCCTCGCCCTCCAGCTGAGCCGGCCAGGAACAGCCTGCTCCTCGGGCGCCCACCGGCCGGCACCGCCCACCCGCTGAGTCAGAGCTGGCGGAGGTGCTGCCTCGGGCGGGGGAGGGAGGCCGCCTCCTGGTGGCCCGGCTTGCACCTGCCGGAGGGCCGGGCTGCCGGGGAAGAGCCGGCTCTGCAGAAGCCGCTCCGGCAGCCCAGCCTGCAGCTCAGCTCCCACATGCACGGGTGCGGGGGCTGCAGACCCCACAGGCGTCACAGCCGCTCTGCTCCCAGGACCCCCCACCGCCGTGCGGCTTTACAGTTTCCAGCCCGCACCCCAGAACGTTCGGCCCGCCCCTGGCGCACCCCCTCGGGCTGGGTGTGGGTAGTCACTCTCCTACACACCCGCTGGGCTTCCTGCGCGATTGGTTTGGGATCCGCAGGCGGTGCCAGTCCCACGCTGCTGCCCGGTCCCCAGCGTCTGCCAGCATGGCCGCCAGTGCGGCTGCCGGGTCAGAGGGGACGTGGGGTTCAGAGGGGACGTGGGGTTCAGAGGGGACATGGGGTTCAGAGGGGACATGGGGTTCAGAGGGGACATGGGGGTCAGAGGGGACGTGGGGTTCAGAGGGGACAGTGGGGCTCAGAGGGGAATGGGGTTCAGAGGGGACATGGGGTTCAGAGGGGACGTGGGGTCGTGGGGTCAGAAGGGATGTGGGTTCAGAGGGGACGTGGAGTCGGAGGGGATAGTGGGGTCAGAGGGGACAGTGGGAGTCAGAGGGGATAGTGGGGTCAGAGGGGACAGTGGGGGTCAGAGGGGACAGTGGGGTTCAGAGGGGACAGTGAGGGGGTGCTCTCAGGGCACAAAGGCACACTGGCCTTGGGGCTCCCTGACTATACAGATAACTCCTACTCAAATCCCATTGGCCAAAGCAAGTCACATGGCCAGGGCCTGCACCAATGAGCTGGCCGGGAGCTGTGTGCCACTTCCGGTGGGCGGGGCCGGGGTCACATCTGTGGGCGGGCACTTCGCATCCAGAGCCTCTTCCTGCGGTCACTCCTCCCAAGGTGCTGGGCCCTCCGTCCGTGGCCTCGGGGGGCGGGGTCTGCTGGTGCCGGTTTTTATGGTTTCACGTTTTGTTACGACTCAACAAGTAGCTCACCGTTTTCTAGTTCGGAACTTACCTCCCCAGGTGGACACCCTGTCCCCTCCGGACATTAGCTCGCCCCCAGCCCCGCCCCCAGGCCTGCCCTGAGCCTGCCCCCACTCCAGCCTTGGCCGCCAGCGCGTCTGGGGCCTGGTGGTTCTGGCCGTTGGTGCTGGTCTGAGGACTCGGTCCGGTTGAGGTGTCATGGCGAGTGGGCGTCCAGGAGGCAGCCAGCACCGGGGTCAGGATTGGGGGCTGGGGCTCGGGTCCAACAGTGGGTTTGTCCCGGCAGCTTCGCAGCCTCTTGGCGGCGCTGGGGTCGGCGCTGGGGTTGGCGCGCAGGAAGCTCCAAAGGGAAGGCCTGTGGCCGGTTGCTTTTCACCCCGTGCAGGGCTCCTCGGCCCCTCCCCGGAGTGAGGGGCGTGGCCCGCACCACCACCCTTACCGCCGGGCTCCCTGCTCCCACGGACGGCGTGTCCCAGCCCCTCCACAGGCTGTCACCCGGCCCTCACCTCAGCCCTCAGTCCTCCGAGGCCCAGCTGCCAGCTGGCCAGGGTGGCTCAGAGGTGGAGCAGCGACCTACGAACCCGGAGGTCCTGGTCCTGGTCAGGGCCCGGTTG